GGCAATCAGGAGGTTGCCATTGAATCCGCTGAGTTTGAGAGTCATCACTGTGATCTAGGGGTCAGGAAGTGGCCGAGACTGCCTGACACCTGCGAAGCTGGGGACCGGACATCAGACCAGGGCTGCAACAAAATTCAACAGCTGAAGACACAGAAAGAAGCTCTTCATTGTACTCTTACCTTTGAAATCTACAACTGGTACATGGCATTGATATATTCTAATTTGTACTAGAGTGAGAGCTGTAAGAGATTCTGAGAACTACAATGTTTAGCTTCCGGACTCTGTTGAACAGGAAAACACTCTAGAAGGAATTTGGGGATTGAGTGCCAGTATGAGACTTCCACCACAAAACACATCATTAAATAACGTAGCATGGAATTCCTCAGCTGTGAGACACTGTGGTCAGTGCCCCACTGCAAACCACCACCTCAGGAATTGGACGTCGTCTTGGAGGTACGTCCGTCTTGGAGGTCCATCTCCAGTGCCTCACACAATGTTGTTTAATTTGCTTCACTGAAATTGCTACTGAGACAGAAACCAAGGGAGAAGAAATTTGCCTTGTGAACTTTGTAAAATGTGCCAAATTATCCTTCGCTAAAAGCTTGTTTGTCTTCAGGGATTACACGCTGTCAATAGATATGTGACAGCTGCCTTGATTAAACATGTTTTCAGGCCCAAAGAATAAGATGAGAATTAGTAACACTCTGTCTACGCTAAAAGAGACTAGAAAATAACTTGGTATAATAATATGGGGAAAATGTGTATGTACCATATGAATTTTAAAAGGATGCAAAATTACACAGAGTATGATTGCAATACATGACAAAACAGTAAAATCTTACTAGTAATCAGAAATAATGAAATTTAGATTTAGATTTGAGTGGAAATTGGCTCCGTGGTAGCTATTACAACAGAAAATGTGCACACCATTCAAGACAGTAACACTCATGTTTAATTATCTATTCAAGAAAAATGTTTCCCCATGTACAATGAGGCAAGTACTAAAAATGTGAATGGTCACATTGTTTCTTCCAACAAAAACCTGAAAACGACCTACCTGGCCAGCAATACAGAGAATAAATAAATTATATTATACCCATATAATAAAATACTAGGTTGCTTTTAATATAGATGAGATAGACATCTATGTACTATATTTTCTGTTATGGAAAAATAATGTATTATTAAATTTTGAAATAAAGTGCACAAAATAACAGCATATTCACATGTAGGTCAAATACACACACGAATACATAACACTTGCGGAAAATTTACTATGTGCCAGGCACTGCTGTAAGAGCTTCATGGATATGAATTCACTTAATACTCAGTCTGGCTCCCAGGGAAGAGACAGAGCTGGAAATCAAACCAAGTTCTGAATAACTCCAAAGCCCAGAACTCCACTGAATTCTTATTCTCAACATCACGGTTGGATTATCCAGAAGATGGTTGGTCATTTTACCTGGGTGGTCTGTGGGTACCATGCCCTACTCAGGGTGAAATATTTGAATTTTAGGAGCCTGATGCCCAGAATTTTTGTCAAGTTGCCTGGTGTTAAGAGAATGGGTCTGATCTGCTGTGTGAAGGTGAGCCGGGCCTATCCAAGAGCGAGAGGGACTCTCAGAGAAGTGCTACCTTTTGAGAAAGAACTCGGCATGGCCTCATTAAAAATCTGCTCACCTTCCTTGGGAGAAGTAACTCAACCCCAGCTCTTCTCTTCCCAGATGTGACTGTTAATGGTGCAGCTCAAGTGCAAAACGCCTGGGCACAGCAATGAACAAGTTACAGGCATTGTCATCAAGCTTGCCACACTCCCATACGCTCCCTCGCCTTTTCTTCATAAGCCTTCAATAGTCATTGAAATCATTTTAAAGTTTATTTGTTGTATGCCTTCTGTACTAAAAGTAAGGAATTGCTCCATCTTGAAAAGCCAATCTAAATTTCTTAGAACAGTCCTTTAGTGACACATTAGATATTCAATAAGACTTCGTGAATGATTGAATAAATGCTACCCATACCATTTATTTTCCAGGGATTTGTTTTCTGTGGTCCTATGCCTAATAATGCTTGTGAATCACTGATTTCACTTCCCTTTTCTTAGCAGGCATAAAACCCATTTGGGATTGCCCATAGTGCCTGCTTTCTTAGAAAGGGCATTCTCTCTTCCCTTCCTTTGACTCGACTCCACAGTGCAAGGGGACAGGGGAGATAGGGCCACAGCTGGAGAAAGGGGAAGGGGACCTGCTTGGAGCCTTTTCTTTCCTTCCTAGGCTCCAGCTGTAGCAACAGTTTAGCAGTGACTGAGTGCAGATGATTAATCTGGATGATTGTGACTTCAAAGAATAACCAATATGTAGACACTCATCCCAGCTCTAAAACAAAGCATCAGAAATAGCACTCATTCATTCATTCCACAAATATTTATTAAGCACCTAGCACTTGATTTGTGCTCTCAGGAATACTGTCTATATAAACAAATAGATTATTCCTTTGGATACAACCTATAATCCTCAATCTGCTGATAATTACCATAAAGTGATGCCAACCCCCCACATACACCTAAAAGCTGGATATGATACATGAGAGGCAAACTGCTATGATTTGTCTTCTGATGTACCCTCCCAGGCTTCATTCACCATGGCTCAGGTTCTTACTCATCTACATCTAGTATTGGGTTGGCCAAAAAGTTCAGTTAGTTTTTTTCTGTGTGATGGTTCTAGTAGCGCTTTGTTGTCTTTAACTTCATTTGAAACAATTTTGTTATATTGCATTGTGACAGCTGTCATATAAACAAACATGCACTTAAAAAAACACCAAAGCTGGTGAATTTTTGTGTAGCCATTTAAATATCAAAGATAAAAAAATACAAGTAATATTTTTGGTGTATTATGCTTTATTATTTTAAGAAAGGTAAAAATGCAACTGAGATGCAAAAAAAGATTTCTGCACTGTATGGAGAAGTTGCTGTGACTGATTGAATATGTAAAAAGTGGTTTGCAAAGTTACTTAGAGTTCAGAGGGAGTGAGTCTGTGTGTGGGTTCTTTCAGGGGAACTGCTTGGGACTCTAGAATTTTCCTCCACTGACTCAATCGCCACTGGTTTTTGCAACCAGTAGTTATGAGGACTTATCTTCCTAGCACTGGAACCCTGGGCTGAGTCTGAGACTCCTCACCCCTGATTTATCCCTCCCAAATGTATAACCACATGTGGATGTGAGACCAGCCCGTTACATTTCTCCGCTACTCCTACCGGTCTGGATGGATGTGGGTTTTTTAAATTTCATAGTTGTTAGACTTTCATTGAACTCAATTTCTGATGGTTCTGAGTGATGGCTGTTCTATAATTTAGTTGTAATTTTCATGTGGTTGTGTGAGGGAGCAAGCCATACTCACCTATGCCACCACCTTGACTGGAAAATCCTCAGTGAACTCTTTTTTTTGTTTGTTTTTTTAATATGTTTTTTTATTTTATTGATTATGCCATTACATTTGTTCTATTTCCCCCCCTCCATTCCCCTCCACCCTGCACACCCCTCCCCTACCATTCCCCCCTTTAGTTCATGAACACATGTCTCAGGTTCTTTAGATTCTGTATTTCCCCTACTATTCTTGCCCTTCCCACTATCTATTTTCTACCTACCATCTATGCTACTTATTTTCTGTACCTTCTCCCCCCTCTACTTCTCCCACTCCCCTGTTGATAACCCTCCATGTGATCTCCATTTCTATGGCTCCACTCCTGATCTGGCTGTCCTCTTAGTTTGCTTTCGTTTTAGGTGCGGTTCTTAATAACTGTGAGTTTGCTGTCCTTTCACTGTTCATCTTTTTTATCTTCTTTTTCTCAGATAAGTCCCTTTAATATTTCATATAATAAGGGCTTGGTGATGATGAACTCCTTGAACTTGACCTTATCTGAGAAGCACTTTAACTGTCCTTCCATACTCACCTTCATTCAGACAACAAGTATTTTACTCAAGATGAGACACAATTTCTAACCTCCAGTAGAAGGAGGAGCTTCTTTTCTACCCCTCCCTTACTTCTTACCAACTGAAACTCATCATTCTTTTTCATAGCAGTTTGCCTTTTAATATATCCAGTTACTCTCAACAACAGTAAAAGTTTCTAGAAGAAAGCTCTATAAATGTTTAATCTGAGGTGAACACTAAGTCTACCACATATGATATTTAATAGGAATAAATAATTTAAAGGAATGGATGATAATATATTCCCTGGTCTCACCAGTTTAAGTGTTCTGTTTAATCTGAACTCCTCTGGAAACTGCCTTTTACAAGGTCTGGCAGAAGTAAGGTCTGCTTGAGTGTGGTTAGTAGAGTAATAATATGGGTCTCATAATTTATCATTTTAACTTGAACATTTCACCTGAAATGTCATATGGTATACTTGAGTGTGATATTGTTATGTTACTGAATTACATGCTTATGATTTTGTAATAAAAGGGGGGTTATTTGTGCCCAACCCTCTATATTGCTTTCTATTTTATGTAATATGCTTATGCCTTGTCTCCTGAACTACAGTTTAGGCTTCTCAAGGACAAGGATTAATTCTTATTCTTTGACTTTACATACTGCCCAGCATATAGCCTTAGGTTGATCTTTAATTGATGAACATGAAAAATGAGCAGTTTGGAGGAATGTTCCTGAGAAAGAAAATGAGGGGAGAAAAGCAAAGGAGAAGGGGTGCCTATGCATTAACACCTGTTTATGAGAACTACAATTAGCCAGTATTTCAAAGCCTTGGAAGATATTGACACCTTTTTTTTTTTTTTTAAGAGGTGTGTAAGGAACTCACCAGTGTGACCGCCCATCAGCTGGGGGTCAAGACCGAGAGAGCAGCTGGAGCACTAGGACTAGGTGGAGGTGGCTCTGGCCTGCCCGCTGTCCACTGACCGACAGGGGGAGCTCTGTCCAGCACCGCCCCTCCCTGCCCCTCCCCGCCCCGCGCGCCCCGCGAGTCCTCCCGCCTCCCGGCGCCCCGCCCGCCTGAAGCCGAAGGCCAGTGCTCCGCGGGCTCCCGACCCGCAGCTTACTCGCCGCCCCGCCCCACCAAGCTTCGCCGCGGGACGGGTAACGGTTACGAAGCACTTTCACGCCGCGATTTCTGCTTAGTCATTGTCTTCCAGGAAACGGCTCTCATTTGGGAGTCAACTCTCATTCGGCGGCCGCAGCAGCAGGAACCGCATCCACCAGCGCGTCCTTCCCGGGCCACCGCTCCGCCGCCGCTATCCGGCCTCTGTCGGGCCCGAGCGCAGGCCGAGGTCCCACCGCGTGGGGCGGGCAGCCTCGCGCCCAGCTTTTCGGCTTCGGGCACTCTATCTGCCGGGGTTCCTTCTTCCCCGCCTGCGGCCCCATCACCGCTCAGTCTCCTCCGTCGGCCGCTGCCATGGGCACCGACAGCCGCGCGGCGAGGGCGCTCCTGGCGCGGGCCCGCACCCTGCACCTGCAGACAGGGAACCTGCTGAACTGGGGCCGCCTGCGGAAGAAGTGCCCGTCCACGCACAGCGAGGAGGTGAGGGTGGAGGAGCGTGGCCCGCGGAGACGCGCAGCTCCCGGGCCAGGCCGCGGGGCGGGCCGGGCGGCTCCGAGCGGCTCCGAGAGGCCAGGGCCGGCGGGCGGGCGGGCGGGCTCGCCGCGCACCTGGGCTCGGCCCGCGGGAGGAGGCTGGGGCCGCTGTCCGGGCGACTTGGTATCCAGAGCTGCTACTGGGGGCAGCGGGTCTTTAAAAACTTGACAGGTGCAGCTTCACCCCAGTGATGCCTCCATACGTATAGTTGATCTCCACACTCTCAAACGTCTCAGATCCCTCTCCCTGGCTAGAGGGTCAGAGAAGGCCAGTAGTCGCTCGGTCCCGCCCTGCTTCCCACAACGTGTCCAGGTGAAAAATAGTTTAGAGATTAGTTTTCGAAGAATTCAGATTAAGTAACGGTAGTGGTAATAATCCACTTGGCTTTTAGGATGTTGACAATAGTTTCTCTGTTGTGAGTCAAGTGACTAAACACTCAAATTCAGCTTTGAAACAAAGTATATTCATATATTTTTCTTGCCACAGATTAATCTTAGTTTACTTGCCAAAAAACTAATCACTAGTTTGAAAGTGGCAGGGGTTAACATGGAATCATACATTAATTACCTAGCTAGTCATTTCCGAGCGTATAATCCTTGACTCTGCACAATTAATTGCGGAGGCATATTGATGATATAGGACAATTTCAGTATTAAAAAAATAATAATAAATAAAACTTCAAATTAGGAGCTCCATGACTTTGGGAAAGTTACACTGACTTTGTAGCTTTAAAGTTGGATAATGCCTTCATCAGCAGGTCGTTGTGAGTATTAAAATATATGTGGAAACGTTCTCCATAAAGACATTTTTATCTCCCTTATTTTCTGGTTCAATCAGAAAGATTATTTCAGTATTTTTTTTATTTTTTAGTTATAGTTGACATACAGTATTATATTAGTTTCAGGTGTACAACATAGTGATTAGACATTTGTGTAATGAAGTGATCACCCTGATAATTCTAGTACCCATCTGACACCATCCAGATAAAGACAAATCTTGATGAAAAGAAAAAACATCCTAAATTATACAACATGATATTATCAGCTGTGTTCCTAGGCAGTTTCTGCTCTTTATATAAGATGTTGGTGATTATACAGCAGCCCATGGCATCCGTCTGCGCATGCGCTAGGTCTGGTGCTGGCCGTGAGGACCCAGCCAGAGATGGGAACTCTTGGTGGTAACTTTAATAGGAATCAGAATCCTGTACCATATTCTGTGTCCAGGTTCCAGCTCAATTTGTATGTCTGGTTTTATTCAAACCACTCCACTTGGACTGTTTCTCCCAAAGATAAGTGTTTCTAAATTTAGTTCTAGACCTTTCTTCTCCAGTACTTCTGGTTTAGTACACCATTTTGCATATATATTGGTAATATTGGGTGAAGGTTTCTCTTATCTCACTATAACACACTCTAGAGTAGTGACTTTCAGTATTTTCACTGCAAACCCAGTAAAAAATGCATTGATCTTGCATAAAAGTATAATATAAATATGTATATATACTAACCGTTCTTATATACTATGTATTCTGGTTTTTTCCTATCCTATTTTAATTTTAAAAACTTTATTTCTTAATGCAGTTATGATAGTTATTTCTTAATGGACTTAATACAGTTTGAGGAGTATAACATCTCACATTTTTTAAATTTCATACAATTAGATAAATCAAATTGTTTTTTTTAAGACTTTATTAATTTATCTTTAGAGGGGAAGGGAAGGAGAGAGGGAGAGAAACATCAATGTATGGTTGCCTCTACTGCGTCCCCTGCTGGGAACTGGCTTGCAGCCCAGGCATATGTCCTGACTGGGAATTGAACCTCGATCCTCTGGTTCGCAGACGTGCACTTAATCCACTGAGCTGTACTAGCCAAGGCTAACATCCCACATTTTAAAAAACATCTTTCAAAAGACTAAATCTAGTTTGTGTGATTTGGGGGAGGTGCAGCATCAAAGGGAAAAAACTAAACAAATTTAAAAATATTTGAGGAACACTTGAGCTATGGCAGCATATTGTAGGGAAAATATGCATGTTTTGTTTCCATGTAAAAAAGAACTTTGTAGTAACCAGGGCTTCAAAGTGGGATATGCTGGGGAAACAGTTTAACCTTATTGAATAAAGAAACTGAATAAATCACTCATTATTGAAACAATTTGCACATTGAGTAGAGAGTTTAATTGACTTTTCTAAAAGTTTTCTTCTAGTTTTAATATTTCCTGGTTTGTTTTTATTCTGTGATCTCTGCCCAGATGTTTGGTTACACTGGAATTTTATGAAATCAGATTTTGTTTTTTAAATGTGCCATTATAGGACTGTTTTCCCCAGTCCTTTGTTATACAGGTAATTGACCAGCTGAATAACATGCTATTTTTAAAACTCTTATACAACTGCAGATTTAATGATACACTATGTTACGATGATACTTACCTTCAGTGACTGTGTATGTTAAGAATGAAGAAAGCAAAGAACAAAAAAGTACAAGGTTAATGTTCAGTCAATACAGATAACATGTAAAAGATTAAAAATCACTAGGTTTGTGATATAGTCAGTGAATTTCTCTTTCAGTGTATTCACTGAAATACAGTGAATTTCATCCAATTGTAACATTGGATGGTTCTATGATTTCTCCTGAAATTTTTCAGGATCCAATATTAATTAAAGAAATGGTTTCTAGAAGGGGGTGAATACTCAAAAACCAGGAAAGCCTTAAGTATGCAAATGAGCCATCTTTTCAAAGGAAAATTTCATTGAATTCTTCCATGATTTGAGCCAAAGCACTCCTGATAGAATCATTAACTTGCAGTCCATCCTGCTGCCTCAACTTTGACTAATTTTTAAAAGAATATTGGCTTGTAATTCTGTCTGGAATGATTATCAACTAATTTTTATCTACTGACTTAAGTTTGATTATAAATATATTTCAGTTACAATAGACCTTGTAAATACAATTTGTGTGGGTTATTGTATCATTGTGGATTGGAAATCTTAACCTAGGTGACTAAGCTGTTCAATTGATAAACCAGTTGCCCCTTGTAATTACAAGGGCATGTTTCTTAATATTTGTATTAAGATTTGTGCAATAAAGTACTTATATCAGTTTTTATCGTAAGTGGTCATAGATCAGATAGTTCAGAAGTATAGTCTGTTATTGCTAGTAGAAAAGTGCCTTTGAAATTCAGGGCCTTGCTTCCGATTACTCATTTGCTTTTTCATTGATTACAGAATGCAGAGCACTGTGCCCTTGGATATTTATAAAGCATTGATTTCAAACCTGTAGTGTTGGCCATTTGTAGTCAAAAATCAGTGACTTAGGGAGCAGCACATTTTTCTCTAAAAGCCATCAGAGTACGCCTCGCATGTAGTGAGCATAAATATTGTTTTGTAAATTTTTGTTATGTTACATGCATGAAGTCCTCACTATATGAATGTCTGTGTTACTCTGGACCACTATCAAATAAGTTTGAAATGCACTGACATAAGAAATAAAAGAATATAAACACCTGAATAAATTTATAACAAAATACAATGTTAGTGTAAAAATTTTATTTGTCTATATAAGAAAACATGGAAGACAGGCCATAGATGCACCCGGGGTTAGGAAGAAACGTATGAGCTGGTGTGCTCGTTGACTTCTGTAAGACTAGAGAGTGGTTTTCAGACTTCGGAGTATGTATCAATTGCTTGGAATGAATGCTTGTTAAATAAAAGTTCTGCCCTTATGCAGTGATTAAGCAGGTCTATTATGGGGTTCAGTAATTTAAATTTTTAATAAATACCATAAATCTGGTACAGGTGTTCCTCTGGCCACATTTACAGAATCATTTGTTTGAGGAATATAACTTGGTGGTTAATATTAATTCTAATCAGCCTGCCTGGACTTGAGCCCATGTTTCTGTATTATAAACTTTATTCTTGATTTTCTTTTTGTTTTATGGATATTTTTATGTCTCAAAAGTTTGCTTAAATTTTTATTGGTACAAAACACTTTAAAAATAATTAGATTACTGCTTTAGGTCATTAACATTTGAGAATTTAGGATAAAAACAGATGTAAACTTATCTTTGTGGAAGAAAACCTTGTAGAACTAAAATTTTGGCTTGTATGTTATTTTCTATCGACATATTTTTCCTACATATCAAACTAATACATTCTTATCATAGAAATATAGAAAACTGTATAGAGTTTATTAACAGTTTCAAAATGCATTCTTTTTGCAGCTTCGAGATTGTATCCAAAAGACATTGAATGAGTGGAGTTCCCAAATCAGCCCGGATTTGGTCAGGGTGAGTAAAATATGGGTCAGGAAAACATATAGTCCCAAGGGAAGGGAAGTAAGCAGGAAATTAATTTCCTCAGTTTTAATAGGGAAGTCAAATAGACAATTAGCATAAAATTCCCTGTGGTCGATACTGTGGCTGAGATGGTAGTCTGACTCAGTAGGCTTAAGCATAAAAGAGACCATCTAGACTCTTCAACTGGACAAGAAACTAGGGTTCTCTGTGCTTAATTCCTACCAGAGTTTCCTCACAGTGTATTTTGTTCAGTTTATATTTAGCCTGACAAAAGAATATTATTAAACAATTCTGGTTGGTAAATTGCTTTGATAGAATATCACCCCAATAATATAGTCACTAGAAATAATTTCTAAAATGTCAGTTTCAACAGAAGCACTAAGAAACTGTGTTTCATTAAATGTCAGTATATGGCTATTATCATAAATGTGAATATATAGAATACCTCTCTGTAAACTACTCTTTGGGAGCCAACTCAGCCAAAGGCATCTAACAAATTGCATAGACTATTTTAAAAGAATGGAAGTTGTGTGCTGGACATATTTGTTCCCCTGGGCATACTGCAAGTGTGATAAGTCTAGCTATTAGACATCTGTTGATTAATGTCTACTGTCTGTCTCTATTTCTCTGAAAAGACCATTTACTCTATTTCTGCATGACTAGCAAACACTGCGCCAGGCATAGTAATATGCTCAAGAATTGTGAGAAAGGCTTCACTGTTTACTTTGTTTAATACTATAAATATGAGTTAATATGTTTCTGATTAACATGTGCTAAATTTTATATTTCTCTCATAAATTATTCCTTATGCATTGGAATGACTTTTACTTTTTTCTTTTTGAGTTTATTTCTTAGAGGGGAAGAGAGGGAGAGAAACAACATGTTGTTGCCTCTCATGCGCCCTCTACTGGGGACCTGGCCCACAACCCAGACATGTGCCCTGACTGGGAATCAAACAGGTGACCCTTTGGTTCACAGGCTGTAACTCAATCCACTGAGCCACCACCAGCTAGGGCATTTTATTTTTTTATTGTACTCAGAAAAAGTGTTTTGATTTAAAATGTTTGGATTAATGTAGAAAGTTTTTAACATGTCATTACCCAGAATGTATATTATTTTTCATTGGGTTTTTCCCTAAGTAAAATTATCCACTGTACTAGTGGTTCCAATTCCTTACAGGCCTCCTGCCCCCCATTAATTTGTTTTTTGTTTGTTTGTTTGTTTGTTTTCACATCATGCATCCCTCTGAGTACATGATCAAAATGACACACTTCATCTCAGAAAACTGACACATACACGCACACAGTGTCTTACCTGTGTTTTAGGGCCTTAAAAACCTTATGAAGCCCATTCTTTACTGGACCTCCGATAAAGAACCTTGTTATTTGGGGGGTTCCCTTCTTCTAAAGGGTGTTAATGACAGTAGAAAATATATGGCTAATCTGAAATATTTTAATATTTATTGTAAATGTCATATGTTTACTATAGGAGTTTCCTGATGTCTTGGAATGTACTGTAGCTCATGCAGTAGAAAAGATAAGTCCTGATGAAAGAGAAGAAATGAAAGTTTCTGGTAAAGTCTAGTTTTTCCAATTCATTATGTTTTATACAGTAGAAGTAATAGTAAAGTTTTGTCAGGCATGAGAATAAGCCTTTCTTTGCTTCTGGTAATGAATGATTTAGTCACTAAGTGTGGGGCATATGAAGATTCTTTGAACGTAATTTTAATGTCAGCTCTTGGGGTTATAGGAGGTCAGTGCTGTCTACTTCAGTGGGGTCACAGTAAAACTCTACCTTGCTGTGTTCACAACCAGTTTTTTGTTTTGTTTCGTTTTTTAATCCTTACCCGAGGACATTGTTTCCATTGCTTTTAGAAAGAGAGGAGGGGAGAGAGGTAAACATTGATTGGTTGCCTCTCATACACACCCAAACCCGGGAACATGGACGTACAGACCAGGAATGGAACCTGCAGCCTTTGGGTTACAGGACAATGCTCCAACCAACTGAGCCTCACCAGCCAGGGCCATGACCATTTTTATTAATTTATATTTTGGACTTCAGAGAAGTGGGAAGATTAAGCTGGAGGAAATGGATAGAATAAAGGGAAGTCTTAAGAAAATTGTCTACCCAAAGCCTCCCTTCCTGCTGGGACCCTGCCAGACAATGGCTGAGAGGGCCTTGCAGTATAGAAAGAAGTCTGGGCAATAAGTTGCATGAAGAGAAATAAAATACATATATCCCCATTCAACAAATGTATCAAGTGACTACTTTCAAGAGATTATGCCAAACTCAAGGTATGAAAAAGAAAGGTGCACTGTTCTTGCTGCACTCGGCTTTACAGTCAGCATAGCACAGTGATTAAAGGCTTAAACCTGACTAGACTGAAATTCCTGGGTGTGCAGATACTGATTTGTTCAATCTTGAGCTAACAAGTTACTTAATCTCTCTGAAACTCAATTTCTTTATCTACAAAATGGGGTTGCCTCTGTTTCAAAGGCTTATTTGTAAATGAGACAAAATTACAAAAGAAGCACAGTGCCTGGCACAAAGTTAAGTGCTAGTGAGCCATTATTTATTACCATGTGTGGTTGTGTTGTGGTTGTCATTATTTGGAGGGAGGACGGACATGTAAGATGAGATAGAACGTTGTCTTTTGACTCAATCATAAGCACAATTGTGGAGTCTTTGTACAAGACACTGTACTTGGCATTTTTAAAATTTTGTTTCTTATGAGTCTCAAAACAATTCTACAAGGTAGGTCTATCCCCATCGCACAGGTGACATTAAATAACCAGAAAGTTGTGTTGCCACCAGTAAGTGGTTGAACCAGGAGTCCATCAGGGTATGCCTGACTCCAAACCCATTTCTTTCTATTAATTATACATTGCTATTTGTGTTGAAAATGAAATAAAAGCAACCTATTCTCTGTGGTTGATTGCAGTTCATCATGGTTTAGATTCATCTTAGAGCTCTTGCAAGTAGCCCTCAGTTCCCAGAGGGCTTGATAAGATCAACATTCTCCCCATATGAAGAGCTTTCCTCTCTCTGCTTTACCTAAAAAGGCCTCTTCTTTCAGGGAGAGGAGGACATTTCAGATGGCACAAATTCATGGCCAGAGGGACTGTGGTGGGGAGGATTTTTTATAGAGTATAATTATGGGAGCTGAAGATTGACTCACCTGGTGGAAGAACCGTGCCGGCTTAAAAGAAGTAACGTGGGGAAAGCAATATTTTCGGAAGATTGTCTAGCAGTAGAAAGGAAAGGAGAAATAAAAGAAATGTGCAAGGAAAATGGATTGTATATATTGAATGCCAGGCACTTTATATAGGGTATTTCATTAGCCTGTTTTCTATCTATTCTCCTTTTGAATTTTCTCTCTTCCTGCTCTGCTACTGCTCCATTTATCTGTTTGAGTACATTTAGATTTTTGAATAGCAAATGTACAGAAAGTAAATATAGACATGTAAATTTGAGTTGAAATCAAGCCCAAACCAAAATCTTACAAATTTAGAAAACTATTCAAAATTTTCCTGGTTAAAGCTGAAGAAAGAAATGTCAATTAATGTGGTCCTGGGTAGGTACATATTGTACCTATTAAAATAACAAAAAAAATACATACATATTTGTTAAATATTTTATTTATTTATTTTTAGAGAAAGGGGAAGGGAGGGAGAGAGAGAGGGAAAAAAACATCAATGTATGGTTGCCTCTGGCATGCCCCCTACTGGGGACCTGGCCTGCAACGCAGGCATGTGCCCTGACTGGGGACTGAACTGGCAGCCATTAGGTTTGCAGACTGGCACTCAATCCACTGAGCCACACCAGCTACAGCAATGTATATATATATATATTAATAACATTTTTATAACATTCTATATTGTTTGGAGAACAACTCTTAACTTTCAGTAGTCTTAAAATTTAGGAGGTAAGTAAAATAGAACAATACAACTCAAAAAAGATCACATTTTTTGACTCATAATTGCATTTCTGACAATTTGTCCTTGGGAAATGCTTTTGCATAATGTTGAACAAAAAGTCACCAAGATGTTTATGTTAGCATTATATATGATAACATAAACCTAGAACTAATCACAATGTACAGAAAGCAAGAAATCATTTAGTAAATTATACCCTATCGAAATTAGAGAATTATGTTCAACTTTAATAATGAGGGTTAGGGGGATAACTGGTGATGGGAGGAGACTTGACATGGGGTGGTAAACACATAATACAATACACAAATACTATATTATAGAATTGTATACCTGAAACCTATATAATTTTACTAATGTCATCCCAATAAATTCAATAAAAAATTTTAAAAATGATCATGTAAAATTAATTCATTAAAAGTACAGGGTACAGAATAATTTAAACAGTACTTGCTTTTGGTGGTGAGACTTGGCTTTTTTTTAAGGGGTCTTTCTACTCATATGTAGGTTTTCCTTATTTCTAGAATAAATACATTATTGTTACAATGAAAGTTAACTAAACACTGCATAGAGATATAAAAAATATTACATAAAGGTAAATCAAATAGAAGTAGAAGCAGTGTTAGAACCTGTTTTATATGACCAAGAACTAGAAGGTAATGTCTAAATTTTTTTAAATGATTATATTTGGAAGGTGGGATTGTGGGGTTTTTTTTCCAGTTTTCTTCACATTATGAGCAATTTTAATTTAGTCTATATAGAGATTTTTAGTTTATTGGAGAAAGTAAATAATATGTTCCATCAGTGTTTATAAAATGTACTTTTTGAGTAATAAGTTTTTATATTTATCTGACCTGTCTTCTAACAAATGGGTAATTAATATTTGCCTTTTGTTTTGATAAACAGATATTTGTTGGCAACTAGCATATAATTTAAAAATTACAGTGGAAATAAACTTTTATGTCTTAAAATGAAAACTATAAAATTATGTGACTAGGAAAGAAAAAATAATTCATTGAGGCTTACCTGTCATCTGAGTATTAGCAGTGTTAATACCATATAGTAGATCGTTACCCAAACATGGTAATCAGTTCTGTTTTCTTTGTTTCCCAGCAAAACTGTTCATTGTAGGAGCAAACTCTTCATCAGCAACTAGAAATGCAATTGACATGGGTAAGTAAAACATTGACTTTTGTCTTTATAGTGGACTTTAAATTAGTGTAGGTATGTTAGTTATATCTTATATTCAGGTCCACATTAAAAGAAAATGGGCTTATTCCAATTTTACCTTTTAGAGTTTTGGCCTAATTTCCTAAGGCTTCTATAGAGTCATATTAACTTATATAAGGTCCTGTTTAGATATGTAAGAGGGATGTGAAAGGTATAACATAATTAAATGTTAACTGTATGTTTGGAGGTAGAAATTCTCCTTAATTATATTTTTTAATACTACAGATAAAATACCAAAACAACCATAGCAACAAGCAAGCAAAACATTTTTATCTATTTTCAGTGCTTGGTTTAAGTTATTATAGTATTAATAGCTATTCAGTATTTTTTTCTTTTAAAACATTCCTCCAGTATTTACATATTTTGAACACTTAAATAATTAGCTTTTTCATATAGCTGTTGAATGAGCAATAATAACTAGAATGCACTGAAATTATTTTTATAGGAACTAAGAAATTACCCAGCTCCATAAATATAGATTAAGACCACACATTCAGTTTTTCAGAGTCTCGAGCTTATTTTTTGCTATCACTACCAATTTTGGAATATTAGGTCAGAATTCTTGTGATCATCTATATGAGATACTAGTCGAAATAGAGAAGGCAATGTTATGAAGATAAGGAAGCCACCAAAAGATCCTGGGACTTAGGAAACAAGGAGGCCTGCTCCCTGAGGAAGAGGAACCTGAAGTAGCTGTGGGTTCTCCAAGAAGAGGCAGGTCAGAGAAACTTGCCTGCTACACAGACCAAGCGGATGAATGGACGCACACTTTTTTGAAAGATGGAAATATTCTTAGTAACAGATAAATTATGAAACAGTAAAATAATTTGCTATATAGGAAATTAGTGAATGTATGGACAGAATTCAGTGGGATGCTTGAAGGGCATTAGAAATGCTTATTTTTTATTATATAACAAACATCTCTGCTCTTTGTGGTGGGTTTTTTTTTTCCGCATCAGCCTGTTCAGTCCTTGGCATCGCACAGCTGGATTCTGTGATTATTGCTTCACCACCTACTGAAGATGGAGTTAATCTTTCCTTGGAGCATTTGCAGCCTTATTGGGAGGAATTGGAAAACTTAGTTCAGAGTAAAAAGATTGTTGCCATAGGTACCTCGGATCTGGACAAAACACAGCTGGAACAGCTGTATCAGTGGGCCCAGGTAAAGGACCGCGGCGTCTCGGGCGCTCTGGGGAGGCTCGTCTTCTACCGGCTTTGCTGTACACTTTTTTTTTTAAGATTTTATTTATTTATTTATTTATCTTTAGAGAGGAAGGAGGGAGAGAAACATCAATGTATGGTTGCCTTTTGTGCATCCCCTGCTGGGAACTGGCCTGCAGGGAAGCAGCCTGCAACCCAGGCATGTGCCCTGACTGGGAATGAAACCGCAGTCCTTTGATTCACAGGCCCGCACTCTATCCACTGAGCTACACCAGCCAGGGCTGCTGTACACTTTTGAGCATGACGCACATAGTGGGCACTCACCGTGGGGTGACTGTTCCGCATGAGGAAGGTGTGAGGCAGGCTTTATTTACAGCATTGGGTTTTTTCCTCAAATATATGTCTAATTGAACTTATTATTAATCTCATTTATAATGAGTAACAAAAACACTAGGAAATATGTATAGAAGCATTCATAGCCAAATGAATTATTTCTGTTTCCTTCAGTTTTACTTATGGGATAAAAATATTACATTTTTCTTTACATATTGTTGAGCCATGGTTCTAATTTCCTAAGTAAGGAGATATCATCAATAACAAATATTTTGTTGACTGTTATTTAAAGATATATAAGATTTAGTTCATACAACTCAATAATGGAGTGGGCATCATAGATTAATCCCCACTACTCTCTGGCCTAATAATGTACAAATTATTAGGGAGGTTGCCTACTAGTGTTTTACCTTTCACTCTCTGTGTCCCTCCTTATTCCTTGTACTTCATCCGCAGCCTTCCCATTTCAGAGCTTTCCGTTTCTTATGGACAGGAAGACCCCAGAGAAAGTGTCCCTTCTCCCTTCGACATGGTGGTAGTTGGAATGTGGCTAAGATCCCGCTGGAGAGACTTGGGTGATCCGTAATTAACCTATAAATTAACCAGAGGAGCTATTAGAAATTATCTTATTCTTCCTCTCGTTTTCAAAATGTGTCTGATTAATAACCATAGTCTATGCTTTAACATTAAATGTACTTACCATTTGCATTTGATCCTCTGCCTTTAAGGCATATTCTTTCTGTAGTTGGAACCAGCACACTTAGAATCGGGCTTGTTTTGAGGCAGGTGTGTTAGATTGAAGGTTTTAGCAGGATCCTTTTTTTTCACCCTCCCTGAAAAATATGCTTATTGATTATATAGAAAGGGGACAGGAAGGGGAGAAACATCAATTGGTTGTCTCGTATGTACCCAACTGGGGACTGAAGCCACAACCTAAGCACATGGACCGGAAATCAAACCCACACCTTTTGGTTTACAGGATGCTGCACCAATCAACTGAGCCACACTGGCCAGGGCTAGCAGGATGCTTTATAATAGTGTGGTACTGTATTATATTTTCCCCTCCTAGAGCTATTTTTCCTTTCTCTGTTACTACTAACATGAGTTAGAAAAGCATACATTAATAAATATACTCATGTTAAAAACTATTTTATAAACTTTAAGCAATATAGAACGTGATATTTTGTATTTTCTAAAATAGAGCCTTGTATTACTATCTACTTTTAGTAGTTCTTAGTTTAGTGGAGATACCATGATTTTTTTTCCAATTCTAGGTAAAACCAAATAGTAACCAAGTTAATCTTGCCTCCTGCTGTGTGATGCCACCCGATTTGACTGCGTTTGCTAAACAATTTGACATACAGCTGTTGACTCATAATGATCCAAAAGGTAAGACAGAATCTTATTTATAGAATTTGATCATGAGCTTTTATCTTACAAGAAGTACTTATTAAAATTGAATTTCTAGTTGTATACAGTGATAAATGTACAATGCTATTACCTAGAATCATTCTTAAACGTTAGTGCAGAACATATATGCCTTTGTTTTAGTTTCACAGAGCTTTAGATTTGTCTTCACGCCACTGGGGGAGAAGTGAAGGGGTTGTTTCCTGAACACAGCCTGTTGAGGTTTACAAATATTAAGTTGCACAGAAAATATCTTTTAAGATACTCTAAATAGTATCATATATAATCTTCTCAAGTACAGCAAAGATTGCACCAAAGAACCACGTACAGTAATCAAAGGGGATAAATATCTGGAAATAGAGGCAGGTAAAATTTAATTTGAAACTTGTGCATCTTAGGATTAGTAGTTGAATAGGTATTTTATTAATCATTATGTTTGGTACTAATCAGAAAAATTTTATTAATGAGAGTGGCTGTCTGCCTTCTATAGAGTAATTTTTATCAACTTTTACAGGACTAAGAAAGCTGAAAAGAGAGTTTACACTTTATACTGTTTATTACTCTTTTCCATTCTCGCTGTTTCACTGTTTCATAGGGAGGGAAGGAGATATTTTACTTCATAAATGCACAGGCTCTGTGAAGCAATATTTTTGGTATAGTTTTAAGTGAGAAATGTCTTGTGAGTTTTAAATCTCCATATTGGAGGAAATTTTCTTTTACAGATGATTCCTGGAGAAAAAATTCAACTTTTATTTCCATCTAAAAAGATAGCATTGTATTAGTGGTTAGATTTAGTTTCTTTAGGATGCTTATGGATAACCTCTTCAGACTTTATACCGGGGTCCCCAGCCCCCAGGCCACAGACCAGCGCCCCGTGTGTTAGGAACCCAGCCACCAGCAAAGCTCACTTGGGCCCTGCCTCCTATCTCCCCCTCATCCATCTGCCGCAACTCCCCCCTCCTCCACATCTTCCACGAAACCTGTCTCTGGTGCCAAAAAGGTTGGGGACCACTGTTTTATGCTGTTCTGTTAGCTATCAGTCCCATTCTTATTTTTCACTGTTTTGTAGGAGGAGGAGGAAGACTTTTAATAGTTTTGTTCCTCAGATGCCAGATGTGTTAAATGCCTCAGAGATTACCTGTAGTCTTCAGAACAACTGAAACTAGGCATTTTATTGAGGAGGAAATAGAGCCTGAGAGTTTAAGAAACCAGCCAAGGCCTCTCAACTGGCGTAGGGCAGAGTCTGAACTGGGGCCAAGGTACTGGCTGAATTTGAAGCCTTTCCCCACTGTGCTGTACTGTCTCTCTGATTAGTCCAGCATAGTGTAGAGATTCATTTTTAAGTCATTTTAGTGAAAATGTAATGAATTGCTAATGCTAATTGCTAATGCTAATCCTTTTATTCTGTAATATAAACCCTTTAAACGTGAACCTTCTGGTAATATTCTGTCAACTTCCCTGTTTACTGTGGGTTAGGAGCTCTTCCAACAGTGGTCATTACCGATAGCAGTTGTTACCAGCTGCTGGCGGATGAGCCTATAACCCACCTCGCTCCACTTGGAAAAAAACTCCATACTTTTTCTAGTAGGAAAGAAAATAGCAAAAGGCTAATGCATCTAGTATGTTGTCCAGATGTTGGCATGTGGATTATATGCTAATACATCACATAACCAATAGCAAAATATGGTGCATATGCAGATGAGATGAGGAATTTAATCCTTTTTTGTATGTTTTTGTTGTATTGATGTAATTTAACACTTAGATGTTGTTTTAATTTTAATTCTAAACCCTTTGATTAGAATGTACAGGTTGATTCTGCATGTGCCATTGAGTTTTCATGCACTTTGACCTATAAATGAAGCAATTCTTAGAAGATTTGTTGTGTTTACTGATTCTAAGGAGTTAATGAGTAGCATAGCTCTTTGATTTTGGGTTGTTGATACAAGAAACATCCAAACCCATAGAGAACTTTTGTAAGTTTATTTGAGAAAAACTTATGAGGATGCCAGGGAGCAAGATCTCAAATACTCCTGAGACCAATGGTTTTCGGCTTCCCCTCCACATTTGGAATTAGGGAGAGAACATGAGAGAGTGCACCACAGTGGGAGAAAGCCAGGTCGGGATCAGAGTACAGAATAGGTGACAAGATTATGTGCCCTCTTGAGGGTGGTTAGGCTTCCAAGGGTCTGAGAAAGAGGCATTTCAAAGGTGTGTTAACCTAGATGCACAAATATAATGGACAGGGCTTGCGTAAGGCAAAAATAAACTTTTTACTAAAGAAGTTACATGCCTGGGATGTGACTACCCACCATGACCTGCCTAGTTAGGAATTAATGAGCTTTTACCTCACCCTGTGAGGTTACCTTTAGTTTGATTTATTATAGGGCCCCTTTGTTGTCCACTCTGTCCAACGATTTGCTTTTTAAGTCATCAAGTTATAAAACATTTAACTGTACTTGTCATCTAAAATAGGATTTTGTTTGTAAATCCTCTAAAACCCTACCTCTGTTCTAAACTAGCCTTATTCCTCAGAAAACATTTGTTTTCCATTACTCTTTGTCCTTAAAAGTCGTGGTAGTAGTTTAACTACAGTCAGGATAATATCATGAAGTAGGATCTTTCTTTCCCTTCATTATTTGCTTTACCCCGCCCCTCACTCCCATGAAATCTAATCTGTATTATGCCTTCTTCCCTCAAGATCCTCTTCAGGACTATCTGATAAACAAATCCGTGTTAATGTTACTTTTCCAAAGAGACATTTGCATTCTGTTTTTTAAGAAAATATTTACTAGCTGGGTGATCTTGGTTAAGTTATCCAACCTCTGCCTTGGTATCCCCCTGTAAAGGGGGATAATATCACCCATCTCATAGGGTCAACATGTGGTCAGTGAGTTAATGTATGTAAAGTACTCAGAAAAGCTCCTGGCGCAGAATAATAGGTAACATTTGCTGAGAGTTTATTACTGATGCTATTCAAACATCACAGCCGTTCAGTTGGTGCCAGCAGGTCCTTTAGTGCCCCCGAGTCATGGTGGTCACCTGATAGCTAACTGCATGGTTGGTTCTGACCCCACGGAATCTCTTCATATTGATTGATTGATTGATTCAACAGACACCTTCTATGTGCCAGGCAATGTTTCTGAGTACTAGATGTATAGAACCATCAGACAAATCCCAACCCTCACAGAATTCATTTTCTAATGGGAGGAGACAAACAATACTATAAACGTTAAATGTGATAAATAATGGTATATGCTATGGAGAAAAGTTGGCTGAGGGAGAAGAATGCCCAGACTAGGGATTGTTGTTCTATATGAGGTGGTCAGGGAGGCCTCCCCACGAAGTCGATGGTAATCAGAGGCCCGCAAGAAGGGAGAGAGCCCCGTGAGTGTCTGGAAACAGTGTTCAGGAAAGGGGGCAGCGGATGCAAGCCCCCCAGGTGTGAATGTGCTTGGGGATTCCAGGGTACAGCTCTGTGTCGCTGGAGAAGAGGAAGTGAGGAGGGGCTGGTTCATCAGAGCAGCAGTGGAGGGCTTAGATATGGATGTGGAATTAGAAAATAGTGATGTCATCAAAGAGACACAAACGAAAAGATCACCATTAGCAAAGATTCTTTAAATGATTGCTGGTGTTCCTGAGGAGAGGGTAAGATTTTAACATTGTCAGCTGCTGGTGGAAGTGTAAGGATGGCCTTTCTGGAAAGCAGCTGGCAATGTGTTATGTAGCTAGCCTTCAAAATGTACTTGTACGTTGGCCTTGTCATTCCATAGCCAGGAATGCATTTTAAGAATGTTCATTATAGCATTATTTTTATTAGCAATATACTAGGAAAAAACCCTAAATTTTTGGCCATCAATAAAGAAATGTATAAATTATGGTATCTGTATAATGTAATGTTGGGGAAATTATTAAAAATGATGCTTCCATGAAATACTGAATTTCGTGGGAAATACTTATAACTTAAGTGGAAAAAATAAGTAAATTAGGCTATACCTGCAGTATGATTTTTAGTTTTTAAGATGCTGAAATAGATAGGTGTAGGGAAAAAGTTGGGAAAATACATGGCAGAAAATACATGGCAGTCTCCAGTTGATAAGCATATCTTAGATAGCCATATATTAGATTCAGTTTTGAGATATTTTGTTGTATTTAAATGCTTATCTCCATAGTAAAGGGCTTTTGTTTTCCAATTTAACTCTGGGTTTTTATTTATTGTTGTTTGTTTGTTTGTTTTAAGAACTGCTTTCTGAAGCAAGTTTCCAAGAAGCTCTTCAGGAAAGCATCCCTGGCATTCAAGCACATGAGTGGGTACCACTGTGGCTGCTGCGCTATTCAGTCATCGTTAAAAGCAGAGGAATTATCAAATCCAAAGGCTACATCTTACAAGCTAAAAGGAGAGGTTCTTAACTATGACTTAGGGTGATAACCTGCTGACTTGTATTTTCTTTGAATGTAAGATACAGTTGAGACATGTAAAAATCCAATTACCGCATCGTCATTGATGCAGGCATCCTCTAGTTATATATTTGACATCTACCTGTCAAGTTTTGAATACTGCTCTTGCCTCTTATCAGTTCACTCACAGGAACCTCTGTATTGTTTTCATTAAACTATTGTTTTCTAATTGAAATTATCTACAAAGAAAATATTTGCAATATATTTTTCCTTTATTTTTATGACTAACAGAAATCAAGAAAATGTGTTGTTAGATATATTTTGGCCTAGGCATCAGGGTAATGTATATATGTATTTTTTATTTCCAAAATATTCATGGCTTCCTACTCGATAGCAAAACTAAGCAATTTGGTGACAATTGTTAAGACTGAAATAGAGGAAGATATTTTTTCTTGTGTTAAGATGATTATATCTCAGAGTAACTGGAGTAGCTGGGATCTACTAGTAGTATAAATAAAATTCATTTCTTCAGTATATGGATAAAAACAAGCCTGCTTGCAGTTTACGTATAATGATTTAACCTTGTACTCTTGTGCCATACTTTCTCTTGCTATTATTTAGAAAGATAAACCAAAGTAAATCTAAAAAGGAGACTAGAAACTTCAAAATTATTGTTTGGGGGTTTTATACCAGCAACTATTAATCACCTTCAGATTCTTTTTAATTCTTGATTCATCCTTGACATTTTGCTATTCACTCAAGAATATCTAATAATTGTTGAGCACTTGCCATGTGCTGGGTGCTGCGGGCTCTGGACAGAGGAGAGCGTGGGGGGTGGGGGGGGTAAGATTAGTTGTTAACTACGTGACACTGATGACTGACTGTGAGGGGCCACAGGCCAGAAGGGGGTGAAAAAGTCTTTAATTTACAGCCAGCGTTGTCTATTTAGACTAGTTTGTTTGAGATATGGTCTTAATTATTTAAAAGCAAAACAATATAATCAAAACTTTAGAGCTAGAAGAGACTATACATCATTTGGTATAATTTCTCATTAGTTTAAGAACCAGAAAATACCAAATAAATAATCTGTGACCCATTGAAATATACTATACCTCTCCTTAATTCCATAAATTTGAAAAGTTCTTTAAAAATCTCTTGTATCTCAATCAATCCTTTTTAAACCATGTATTTTAATATATGGTTTATAAAACTATATGTATATATAAACTAATATATAAAATTAATTTGCCCAAGTTTTTTCAACTTAGGCTAAAGAACTGTGGTTACACATTCAAAGTATATACACTAGATGCTTTTTCTGTCATAAATCAGGTTTTGTGGCTTTGTGGCTGGATAATTTGATCATTAGAATTATGTTAAATCAGAGACTTATCTGCTAAAACTTGTTTAGACTTTAAGCTTCCTAAAGCCTTAGATAGCCTTTATATTAATTGCAAGTAATGTTATTAAATGTATAGAGTTAACTTTTTTATTTGGAACTGTACATTTTTCATATAAAATAAGTCTTTAAACAAATGCTTGTTTTAATTTAAGCCTCTATACAGTGAGTTGGTCAAGATATTTTGAGAAGGAATTTTAATATCACATTTATTGTTGTTTTTTAAGCCTTCAACTTAAAAAAATAGATTGTTTGAAGTGTTATTTGAAATGGGAAAAACATTTATGTTGCTAGTGTATCCAACCTTAAAAGAAGCTCTTCTGTGTTCTTCTTTTCCTTGATGAAGATTATAGATTCGCTTTGTGTAGGGGATCATGTATGGAATTTTTTAATTAGTTTTTGATTATTTCACTTCTGTACTTTTAATTTCTATTATTGAATAACCATTTTTTTAAAAACTTATTTTTAAGGCTTTATATATGTCCAAGCTGATGTCGACATCTTTTTGTGTGTGTGTATGAGCTATCAGAAAATAGTAAATACTGTTCAGATTTTAAGAACTTAATGTTTAAGAAGCCATAAAATAAAGAACAGTAATACTACCAAATAATTGCTTAAAGCGGAAAGCTAACTTATCAATAGTGTCTATTACAGATGTTTCTTAGGGAGATGTATATCTGGTGGACCAAGTTAGAAAGAGTTTATATAATTGTTTGTTTTTTCAGTAAAACATGAAAAAAACCTGTAGCTGATTATTACATTTCCAAAATACACTGGAGCCTTACTTTAACAAAATGTACTGTAACTTGGAATCTGTTCTGTGATAAGTATATCTTGAATTCTCAACCAGGAAACTGTAGTCAGTCTCCAGAAGGACCAAGGCATCTTATAAAATCTGTTCATGTGGTATAAATTCCGAAGCCCTCTTGTGCCAGTAAGCTAGTAGAGTACTCATTTAGGGATCACCTATGCTAGAGATTGAGTCACAAATAATAACTAATAATTTTTCCATTCTCAAAAAAGATAAAACAGCTAGGTATGAAATAGGAAGTGAAGTCATTCTATTTTGAACAAATGGTTCAGACTTTTCCCTGCCAGAGCCAAGTAGTAACTGAAATAGAATCTCCATTTTCAGTAATGAAAGGTCTAAGACTTGTTTGATTATATGTCTTTTCAGAAAAGATTTTCTAATATTTCCACCCAGCATTTTCAATATTTGAAAATGTGACTGATATATTTATCATATATTGGCTGACAGTTCATCTTTCTGCCAGTTGTGCATTTAGAGAAATTTGAAGTTGTTTTCATGAGAATTTAAACTTTGTGTTTTTATACTCAAATATATCAACTGATATATTATGATTCCAAACCCATTTTTGTAAAGTTAATGTCCTAGTGTACCAGAACTTGTACCTGTCATTTTCCCATAAAGTCAGTGATGAGTTATGTCAGTTTTATTTCTGAAAATAGGTAGCATAAGTTTTCCCTACCAGATAATTCAACTGGTATGTGTCTGTAGTGATGCATTATAAAATACAGGCAAATATATAAAGCATTATTAACATTTATAAAATTTTAAATTTTACTTATGAATTTAATTAAAGTGTGAGGATATTCAAGTTGTTTCAACAGTTCAAAGCATCCTGAAACATTATGGTTTTGAACTGTTTGACCTCAAACTGAGTATAATTTGAAAATAAATTACGAATAATCTTTAAATAAAAAAGCCATAAAGCTATTCATGCATTCATTCAACAGATGTATCAGATGCTTACTGTGTGACAGGCACTGTGCAAGGTATTTGCAGATAGACATGGAAATGAAAAGACAAACTATCTGCAAGGAGCTTGTAGTGTATTTGGCGGGGGGGAGATCTGTAACAGAACCAGGGCAATAAAAAGCTGCATCTATTAACAGTAGCTGTGGTGAGAAGGGGTTGGGATATGTGGAAGGAAATGGGGCTTGGAAGTACTATTCTAGAAGACTGATGAAGAAATTAGCCTTAGGGCAGGACCAGAGGAGGAAGTGCGGGTGGGCCCAGAGGCCCTTTTTGCCTGGTTTGTAAATATGCTTTTATTGAATGATGAACAGTTTATATATATAAACTTTAAAAATTCAGAGAAAACACTTTCTTCAAGAGCTTGTGCTTACCAGATAGAAAGGAATGACTTCTGTTGAGACAAGCGTAGGTAAGTTGGAAAAGTCACATTTTATAAAAGAGACTAAAGCTTGCCTAAATCTCCTAAGTGTTATCAGGATATAGCTTTAAGTAGTTTCACTATCAGAAAGTCACCTTAATATGTATTCCTCAGCAATGAATAAATGTATAAAATGTTGTACAAGATTTCTGTGTGTTGATTCGTTATTTTAAGAGGGTTCGTATTTCACAATACATTTTACTTATTTTGACTCAGCTGTTTTCCCTGTTTCTGTGCTCATGGTTGATTCTTGCACACTGCTCCATTTACATTAGCTTTTTTCTTGCTTAAGTGTGCCCTTCGTAATTACCAAAGGTCTTTGAGCAGTACACTTTTAGGTCCTGTTTGTCTGAAAATGTCTTTATTTTCTTCTCAATTTTCAATGATCATTGGACACTATAGAATTCTAGTTTCCAAATACTTCCCTTCAGCAACTTGAAGATAATATTTCATTGATTTACAATATATATACTTTTGCTAATGAAATTCTGGATGCATTTCCTTAGAAATGTGTTTCTAAGGATTTCCTTCCCTAGAAATAATGTCTTCTTGTCTCCTTGCTTTTTAAATTTTTAGTTGAATTTTCAGCTTATTTTGATGTGTACAGAATTAGAAGAAAGCAGGAAAATTAAAACTGGCTGCAAAGTTTTCTCATAGCAAAACACTTAATCATAAAAGAAACATTAGCTCTGGCTGTTTTGGCTCAGTGGATTGAATGCTGGCCTGCAAATTAAAGGGCCACTGGTTTGATTTCCAGTCACGTGCCTGGGTTGCAGGCCAGGTCCCTGGTAGGAGGTGTGTGAGGGGCAGCCGCACAGTGATGTTTCTCTCCCTCTCTTTCTCTCTTCCCCTCTGTCTTAAATAATATCTTTAAAAAGAAAACTTTGATGACTAAATTTAATTAAAATTTAAGTCTTCTGTTTTTAAGTGTCTGTCTGAAAAGACACTCTTAAGAAAATGAGCCCTGGCTGGCATAGCTCAGTGGATTGAGCACAGGCCTGCGATCCAGAGGATCGCAGTTCAATTCCCAGTCAGGGCACATGCCTGGGCTGCAGGCCAGTTCCCAGCAGGGGACACGCGAGAGGCAACCACACATTGATTTTTCTCTCCCTCTCTCCTTCCCTTCCCCTATAAAGATAAATAAATAAAATATTTTTAAAAAATGAAAATGCAGGCCATCGACCTGGCTGGCATGGCTCCGTTGGTTGGGTGTCATCACACAAGATGAACGGTCCCCAGTTTGATTCCTGGTCGGGAGACATGCCTGGGTTGCAGGTTTGGCACCTGTCTGGGCGCATGTGAGAGGCAACTAACTGATGTTTCTCACATCAATGTCTCTCTCCCTCTCTTTACCCTTTCTCTCTCTAAATATGCAAATTTTTTTTAAAAATGCAATCCAACTGAGGAAATATTTTCAATATATATTTCTGATAAAAAGTGAATTAGACATAACTTTTAAATTGCACTTCAGAGGACAACATCAAGAAAGTGAAAAGACCACTTACAGAACGGGAAAAAATGTTTACAAATCTCATATCTGATAAGAATCTTGTATCTGGAATGTGTAAAGGTGTCTTTTAACTCAGCAATAAGACAACCCAATAAAAAATAGTGAAAGGTTAGAACAGATTTTTTTCAATGATAACATGAATAGCAAATAAGAACATTAATAGATGCTCAACATCTTAATCGTCAGAGAAATGCACTTTACAATAAAATGCCACTAAAGGCCAACAGTACCAGCTGTTGGTGAGGGTGTGCAGCAAGCAGAACTCATACTGCTGGTGGGAATGTGAAATGCTATGATCACTATGGAAAATAAATTTCTTACAAAATTAAATGGATGCTTACCATATGACCAGCATTTCTACTCCTATTCACCCAAGAGGAATAAAAACATGTATAAATGTTTATAGTACTTTACTCGTAACCTGGAAACATCCCAAATGCTATCAACAGTTGAATGCATAGATAAGTTGTAGTATAATCATATAATGGAATACTACTCCAACTAAAAAAATAAAGTATGGTATACATGAGCTAGACATGAAAGAGTACATATTGTATTTCCTTTACATTAAAATTTAAAACACAAAACTATTTAATAGTGACTTTGCTGTGATGCAGACTCTGTCCAGCGGGGCCCATATGTTGTGGATGCAATGAACAAACTCACAGGGACTGCAGAGTCCTGTGGAGAAAAAGGGACGGCTCGGCTACTCTCTGAGTGAGAGAGCACCCGACCCTTGTCTGGACAGGCTTTTATTGCATTTCTGGGAGCATTACATCAGGGAAGGTCCTCATTCATTATGCACAGGCTTGCTTTAGGTGATTACCTTTTACAGATTAAAAAGAAAAGGATGTTGCAAATGCAAAGGAAAAAGTGGTTGAACCTCCCTCCCTCCCATCCTTGGGAGGTTTAGCACAGACTTTAGAAAGTTACTTCAAAGATATGCATTAAACATTTCTGCCTTAACTCAGGATGAGGGAGGTTTAACAAAAGCAAGCCTCAAAGCAGCCTAGGTACAATGCAGGCCTGGTTCCCCCTGGTAAAGCTGATCTGTGGGCCTGGCTCCTGTGTGCCACCTCATGTCTGTTGGTTTTCCAAACCAGAGCTGAGCTGCATTCACCACTGCCACTCAGACCGGTTCCCTATATTGCTGTGTTTGGGTACCTCAAGTGTCTCGAGCAGTTGCAATCCAAGTTTCAGGTGAGATTAGTTCTCACCCGTGTGCTTGTTTGAGGCCAGTTTTAGCTTGCTCATGTGGTTGCTGCCTGGACCTGGTTCCTTGATAAGTATAGCCAGAGGCCTCCATCACTTTGTTGCCACATGGCCCTCTCCATGGGGTAGCTCATTCGTGTGGCTAGCTTCCTGCAAGTGAACAAGTGAGACGGTACAAGATAGAAGCCAGCCTTTTTTGTAACCTAATCATTTTTAAGTGATTTTCAAACATTTTTTTGATGTTTTTATTTTATTTATTTATTTTAAATTTTATTTAGTTATTTTCAAGTACAGTTTTGTCTATTTCTCCCATCCCAGCCCCCCCCCCGTACTCCCCACCTCCCTCCCATTTCCTCCCCCCCCCCCCCCCCCCCAGTCCTCATCCCTGTGTCCTTCATACTTGTTCCTCCAAATCCCTCCCCTTTTTCCTCCTTAAATTCCCTTCCCTCTCCCCTCTGGTCACTGCCCCCTTGTTCTCTATTTCAGTGTCTGTTTTTATTCTGCTTGCTTGTTTGTTTTGTTGTTTACCTTCCTGTTAAAGGTGAGATCAAATGGTATTTGTCTTTCAACACCTGGCCTATTTCGCTCAGCATAATGCTTTCCAGTTCCATCCATGTTGTTGCAAAGGGTAGTAGCTCCTTCTTTCTCTCTGCTGCATAGAATTCCATTGTGTATATGTACCACAGTTTTTTTGAGAGCCCAGAAATCAACCCAACTCTCTACAGTCAATTAATATTTGACAAAGGGGGCAGTAACATAAAATGGAGTAAAGATAGCCTCTTCGACAAATGGTGTTGGGAGAACTGGACAGCTACGTGCAAAAAAATGAAACTTGAGCACCAACTTACACCATACACCAAAATAAATTCAAGGTGGACATTTTTAATGTAACCCACAATACAATACAGATTATATGAAACAGTCCAGACAGACCCATATATTCATATATAATCTGCATAAATGCATGCAAAGTTTCACAAAACAATACTTTTATAATATTACACATGATGCTCTGTGACTTCTGTTCTATCTAGTTTTTTAAGTGCCGGTTATGACCCATTAAATCAAGTTGATGACCACTAATGGTCACAACCTATTTGAACACACCTGCTCTCAGTGGTGCTTCTGCAACATTTCTAATATTGAGTATTACCTACAGACACAAAAGTACTCTCACCACGGAGAACAGACAGCTCAATGCACCCTGAGTCTGTGTGGGCTTTGAAAAACTCTCCTCTTCAAAAAGAAGGGGAGGAACCCAGAACATTAAATTAGGGATTTCCAAAATGTTGAGCAAGGATTCAGCAGACATACAGCCTTTGCCCTGACACACAGACCTGGGATGTACAGTTGGCCAACTTCCTCCCTGGGACATCTCAGCCCCTCCTCCAGCCACTGGCTGCTTCCTTTCCTCTTGGCCATTAGCTCCAAAGTGTGCAGCCCATAATAAACTCCACAGCTAATAGAATCATCCAAGCTGGAAACTCCGTCCTGCCAATATCACATTTCTGTGTCTTCTGGACACTCCCCACCAAACACTAAGAAAAGATTTTGTGGCCTTCCTGGAGATTCACGATGCATGTTTGCATGTGAAAGACTGAAAAGTCCTGCAGTAGAAAAACCTGTTAACTTTTTTTTTAATCTTCAGATTTTACAAATGTATTTGTCCACAGACACTTCCTCTGTCTTTTTTTCCCTACCCTGCCATAGAGCTCCTTAATACATAAGGCCACCCCTGGGAATAATTGTGGAGTAAACGAAATGAGTCTTTGTTTTAACCTCCTTCTGTCACATCCCAGACTCCAGAAACTGCCACCACACCCTTAGGTCTAATTCTCCCTATCCCCCTTCTCTCCTGTCTGAGCATCTTCCTGGACCCTAGTGTCCCTCAGGCCCAGAAGGGAATGAGGGAGGAAACAAAGGGATTGGGCCTAACGGGTTGTCCCACCATGAGAATTGGCACAGTTCTTAGTAATTGGCCTATGGACTGACTCTAATTCAGGCATCGCAGTCCCTGTTTCCTGGAAGATGGGGGGATGAGAGGTGGGGAAGAAGGGATGGAATTAGGAGCCTGTGAGGTCCTAGGAGCTTCCAATTCCTAGCCTTCTTGTTGGAGGGTCCATGTTCATTCTTGCTACTCTTTTCCGACTGGTGATCCATGTGACATGAGCAGAAATCCAGACCCTACACCCACCCCAGGCATGACATTTCCCCATGTTGTCCTCTTCCTAAGACCATCTCTGGAGGCAAACTATACCTTCCAGCTTGCACTGGAATTTCTACCACCTGCTCCCATTCTGCTCTCCTCTCTCCCTGGACCACGAACACCTTCAACCCCAATTAAGTAAAATTTCCCATGGTGGGCAAGGTAATTTGGGTCACCCCAGTGTGCCATGTCTGTAGGACAAACACCAAGTGCTGGGCCACGCTGAAGAGGAGACTAGAGCTAAGGAGAAACGGTATTGTGCCCCACCCCCACTCCCACAGCCTTCCACAGCCCGGAGGGAGAAAGGCTATCAGAAGCATGACTGGCCTCACAGAGCTGTTGAAGCCTCCTCCACAGCCCCCCACCCCCCCCCCCCCCGCCGGGGTCAAGAGCTTGGAGAGGAGGCTGCGGAACCTGCCCACGGTGACGGCTGCTGGCTCTGGGGACGGACCTGAGCTGGACGCGGTGAGATTCAGCTCCTCAGAGTTCACACAGAGATCATCGGAGGACAGCCCGAAGGCCACCTGGCTAATATCCAGGCTGTCCACGGAGTCGGAGCTGTCTGTCCAGTCCCGCAGCCAGTCCAGGCCACAGTCACAGTACCCCGGGTTGAGGAAGAGAAAAGGGCGGCCTAGGTGAATAGGATGAAGTAGTTGCCATCAGGGTGCAGAGCGAGGAGGCCCAAGAGGTTCAGGCCGGCGATGCTGTTGCAATCCAGGTAGAGCAGCTCGAGCTGGGCCAGGTCCGCGGACCCTGTACACGCCACGTGACCCAGCGAGTTGCCATCCAAGTTGAATGTAAGCAGGCTGCGCAGGTCCTTCTGGGTTCCGCAGTCGCCGGCGCAGGGGCGGAAGCCATTGACCAAGCAGGCTGAGAGAGGCATTCACCTAAAGCCCCACAGAGAGCTGGAGGCTATTGCCTCTGGGTTAATGCACTCCACCTGCGCATGCGTCAGGTAACTAATCTTGAAGTGACATCCATCACTTTTGTCATTTCTTCATTGTAAGTCACTGGGTCCAGTCCACATTCAAGGGTTTGAAACCAGAGATTATTGGGGAACTTCTTACAGGTCAAACCTAATTTAAAAGTAATGTTTTATACATAATAATTCAAAATGATGATGAATATAGATAGTACTTATTATTAGAAGGCTCATGCACTAAAACTCTCATTCTTTGGTTAATGCATAAAATTCCAGAGAGAGATTCAAGCCTTCGGTTTAAGGGTTTAATTAGTAAAATATAGACTATCAAGGTAGTTTTTCTTCAGAGCTGAATAACTACCATATTTTTATACTGTACTTGCCTAAAAGTGAGCATACTGTATTTGCCCCAAATCCACTCTGGGCAAAGAGAGTGGGCAGAGAAGGTAAAAATAAGGAAACGGGGCAGACCTGGTAAATCCACATAAAACAAAACAGAACACTGCGGTTTTGCCTACTTCCGACCACCTGTTGATAGACCAGCTCAGTCTTCTCAGATTATGAATGTGCACTGGCACTTTAATTTGGGTATTTGTTTCTTGACATTTTTGGATTGTAATGTTTGGGATTTTGTTTGTTTGTTTTACTTTAACGGAGTCATGCTTGCAAGTGAATATTACAAATTAATTTTCAAATACCCTCCCAATTTCCTATACCCACTCCTGTGATCTTAATTTCTATTTTCATGCATTTGCTCACGTTAAAGTTTTTGTACAGCTTAGTTAACATATGTAAGGCACCTAATACCCAGGATATAGTAAGTGCTCAATGCTATCACTATGATCGATGCTGTTTTGACCTCCAATTGGTTCACTTTCTTTCCTTTCTCTACCACTCTACTGCTCTTCAATCCAGCCTTTCTCTCTGTTCTTCCTCTTACATAGTCTCACAGCTACTTGGCCCTACCAAAATTCCTTTTTGCTCCTCACCACATTGTCCACATGAACCAACCTAAATTTTTTTCATTCTTCTGAGCAGATGAGTTTTCTACTTAGAGAAAATTAAGGTTCCCTCTCCAAAATCCTCTATTTTCTTCTCTCCATTTTGATTTCCCTGAATTCACATTCTCCTTTCTGCTTCAACTATCAGGTCTTTCCTCCTGCCTCAAAGGAAGGAGCATTCTTCTCTGGCCACACCCTCCATCTTTATTTTTTTATTCCATTCTGCAGTGGGGAATGGGTTTAACTACAAATAACAGACAACCCCAAAATAACAGTGGCTTTAAAAAGGGCAGGTGTTTTTCTCAGGTGGAACAGATCTAGGAGTAGGCTGTGTAGGGCTCATATGGCAGCTCCACTAGCTGTCTTGGACCCACGTGTTTTTCTCTCTCACTCCTCTGCCATCCCTGCAACGTGGCTCTCGTCCTCTTGGGACCAACTTGCTGCTTGAAAACCAAAAAGCACAACTTTCCATGTAGTAAAATGAAGCTAAAGAAGGCAAGAGAGGATCCCCTCTCTTTTAAAATGTCCCTTAAGACCACACAATACTCAATTTGTATGTAATGGCCCAAAATTTAGCCACATCTGGCTGCAAGGGAAACAATGAAAAGTTATTTAGCTGGGTGACAGTGCGCCCCCTGAAAAATTCTGTGCTTTGCGACAATAAGGGGGGAAAAGTTTTCTGTAATAAAGTAAAAAATACATTTAGTGAGGCACCTATCATTTCTCACCTCCACCAATGTCCATCTACTTTTTCAATCCCTTCCTATTTCCCTCATTCTAGCTCTCCACCCTTCATCTTAAAAGAAACACAAACCTTCTATTGATTCAGATTATTCCTTCCTTTCACTGCAAAACGTTATCACTATTCTTTACAATATAACATTTCTTCCTTTCTGCTTATTTACAATCCTTAGTCACCATCTCACCTTTAGATTATAGAGCTCCTAACTAGCCTCTGCATTCCTGGGGTTTTTAACATAAAAACCTTTACCCCAACCAAGTCTCCAAATTTAAATTTTGTTTTTTATAATATTACAAGAGTAATGATTTTTTTTAAGTATAAATAATGCAAATATCTCCCTCGGCCACACCCTTGGCAACATTTAAACGTTTAGAATTGCCTAACACAATTCGCGTGACGAAGGCCCTCTGCCCTGTGAGTTTCATCACCCCAGCTAAGTGCTCTCCCTGCAAAAAGGTGATCTGTCTCATTCCCCGGAGTGCACGGACACCCTCGCCTATCCCCAGGCCGGCAGGCTGGGGCCTAGACAGGTGGGGCGGAAGTAGGTAAGAGATTCTCGCGAGTTCCCGAATCCGCGCAGAAAATGTGCACGAGGCCGTTCTCTGACGCACTTCCGCGGCGCCGGAACAGAGGCAGGCCGTGGTGGCCCAACGTTGGAGAGATGGTGGTTACCAGGTCTGCGGGGCCGCAGGCCCGTGGCCGAGCTACGAATGCTGAAAGCTCCGGGCAGAAGGTAGGAAACAGCACGGCTACCTCATTTCTGCTCGCTGCCGCGCAGAATCGCTCTCGGGGAGGTGGGGCGGCGCAAAGACCCCGGGAGCGTTAGGGGGAGCAGCAGGCCAGGAGCGTGCGGACTGGCCTGCCGCGCGCCCTACAGCGCATCAGACCCGGAGCTGAGCCTGCCGCTTCCGCTTTGGTCCTCACTAGTCTTTAACGCAGTTCTGGCATGGAACAGAGAAATTAGGTAACTTGTTTTGGGTAGCTCAGCTCTGTAATGCAGATAAACAGCTCTAGTTTTTTAACTTTGCTGTTAACACTGTACTAAGGATTAATTTCGACCACCACACGTGAGCCTAATTTAGCGGGGTTGGAGAGAAGGGCACCTTTTGTCGTAGAGCACAGCACCTCCTTTTGGCGTAGAGGAGGTGTATAGTGATGACGCCTGGTGGCTTTCAGTGATGCTAGTCGTCTGCTGCCTCTGATTCAGCGATGAAGGAAAACGAGCGTTAATTCACTTACCTATGTAAAGGTAAGAGCAACGATGGATTCTGTAGGCGTGTGTTCTTAAACACATCTTTGCTTAGAGTTAATACTCTCCTTATTTCCTCTTCCCCACATGTGTGGAAATGTAGAATATTTGACTTTTTTAGTATAAATTTTTTTCTTTTTTCAGTTATTATTATTAGTATTAGTTTTTCCTCACTAAAATTAGATTCAGAGACTTGGGTGAGGCAAGTGAAGCAGGGCCCTTCACATTCAGGGGCAGGTACATTATATATGTTTTTTAACTTTATTTGTTTAAATAATGGGTGGGGTTTTTTTTGTGTTCATCTTGTTTACTGAGTTTTTTAGTGCCCTCTTAAAATTTGCTCCTGAGAGGAGTGTCTCATTCACTTTGCCCATGTCCTAGTCCTACCTAAATTAAGTGTGTTCTCTGGCTTGCAGACTTCTGCTAAAAGAGTTCAGGAGCATCTAAAAGGCAGGATGGAATCTCCATCTGATGACTCAAATACTGCTGGATCACAGAGCAGTAGGAAACCAAGTCTAATCCCTAAAACTCCTAAAACTGGAAAGAGAAAGAGCAGAACTGTAGGCTCATTACCAGAAATGAACAAACCATGTACTGATGGAGAGACCTCTGAAGCAGAGTCAAATTGTTCTGTGTTTGAGCTCCAGGATTCCATTTTAAGAGTAACTAGGAGAAGGCAAATCTTAGTTGCACGCGACCCATTGTCCAGTGCTAAGAAAAGGCTGAAAGTAACTCCAGTAATTGAGTCTCATACTGAAGAAGAAGTCTCTGAAGCAGAATCACACGTTTCAGGTATTTCTAGAATTGTGCCTTCTACAAGAATCAGAAGTAAGGCTAAATCCCTGATAGATCCAAGCCAAGATTCACGTGCAGAAGCTATTTCTGATGCTGAATCAACGTGCTCAGATATTTCTACATTTTCCGGAATTGCAACTAGGAGAACAACAAGGATTATGCAGAGGAAATTACAGGCACAAATGGAGGAGAAATATACTAAGATTAAACCAGGAAATGAAAAGCAAATGATAAATACACCTATTGGTTCAGAGGATTCCGATACCAGACAAACTTCTTATTTACAAGCAAGATCGCTTCCTCAGATAAATAAGCCAGATGTCTCTGATAGTGAAGTCTGTAGTGACTTTGATGATTCCTTCCACAAAAAATCAGGGAAAAAACCAACAGTGGAAGAACACCAGCATGTTAATAAAACAGAGGAAAAACAGGTCAGTGCTGCACCTCTCAAAGAAATAACAAAACAGAGTTGTGACAATTTAGATGAAGAAGACAAAGAAATGATAGATAAGGGGAAAGAAATTAATGAGAAAAATTCTGAGGTGAGTTTTTCTGAACTTCAGGACAGAAGCCTTCCACGGTTAGTTTCTCAAAGGCATTCAACCCCCCACAATAACAAAACCACATCGAGGCCCTCAAATCAGAACTGTGAGGCTATTATGAAATCATTAGCTCAGACATTTGCTGTTGTGGAAATAGACAGATGGACTGAAGAGAGAAAGAGCACCATAAAAACAAGTGACTTCACATCTAGTAATGGTGATGGTAGTGAAGAAGAAGAGTGCACACTTAGAGCTGCCAGCGAAGACGTGAATAAAGAAAGGGATGTAGATTTTGAGTGTGATACTGAACTGTACAAGTCTGAGCTCACATCTCAGGATACAGGTGATTCTGTTGTATTACTGCTCAGCAGTGATGAAAGCCAGCAGTCTGAAAACAGCGAGATTGAAGAGGAGGACACTGTGTGTTTTGTTGAAAATGATGCAGAAAGGGGGTCATTAAATGAAGATTTGGGAAATAAGTCAGGTGACAATGCATTGTTTGTAATCGACACAACTCCTGGGTTAAGTGCTGGTAAAAATTTTTTCTTGGGTGAGGAAGATAAGACAAATGAGGGTGCCGTGGAGGAAGAAAAGGAAGGGGAGGAAGAGGATGAAAAAAGTGAAGACGAACCATCAGACGAAGATAAAAATAAAGATGAATTTAGTGATGAAGACGATTTACTAAATGACACAAAGTCTAAACTGTAAGTTTTACCTTTATTTTAAAAAGTTTTTGATACTTTGTGTATCAAAAGGCTTCAAATGGCTAATTTACTGTAAAAATTTAAAATATTATAAAGCATGGGAATTGACAGAAGCATTGCCTTGGGCTCCGTATGGGAGAGCTCTTTTATCCAGCATTTCCCTCATCTCTGTGGTTGCCTTTATTCACATTTTCCCACCAGTGATAGCTAAAAGTGCTTCTTTGGTGATAATATTAAAAATCCTCTGTCAGAATTACCCTGTGTGATTGTTAATACCAATATAAAAGGGAAGGAAAATAGCTTGTTTTTTTTTAAATTTTATGTTGATTATAGAGAAATTGAAAAATAAAGCCTGAGAAAACTAATAACCTATAATCCCATCTGTCCGCAGTTGAAAAGCGTTAGTATTTGGGGTTACTTTAATTTCTTTTCCTCTGTTGTAAATTGTCTTTCCCAAGTACAGGCCCCTGGCAGCAGTGTATCCATGAAATACAGGCATCCTTGCAAGGAACTATATATTAATTGGATGCCCAGTGAAGTCAATCTCAGGCTAGACTCAGGCATTCTTATTTTTTTGAAAGCCACAGTCCTCGTCCCTAGGATAATTCCCATGTACATTCAGGGTTGAGGATCACTGCCAAAGCACTGCAATAAAATGATACCACTTTCCAGTAGAGGTTGGGTATCAGAACTTTCAGCTTTTTAGTTTATGTGAATAATTAGAGAAGAAAGTGACTGTAAGGCCAAGTGTACTTGCTTATAAAAAGGATCTTTCAGTAATATAAAGTAGAAATTTTTATTCCATAAATCAGGAGTCCAGGCCACCTGCAGAAGAGTCTAATTTGTTATGTCTGGGATATGACATTTGTATTTTTAAGAAGCTCCAGTGGGAAATATGGATGCTCATCACTGTTTAAAACTTCCTTAATTTAGAGGCACTACCGAATACTTCTGATTACCCAGAAGAATATTCCAAGTTTGGATAACTTGGAAGTTCAGAGTAGAAGAACCTATTTTTCTCGTTGATTTTAGATATGGAAATGTGTACATTTGGGAACTCACTACTTATGTATAAAGTTGAGCCAAATTGCCAAATGCATCTTCTCTTTTCTGTAATTTTTTAATAAAAGTCCTGTTACATATCTACTGACATGTTATATGGCCTTCATCCTCTTAAAGAAAATCAGAATAAATTTGGATGTGCTCCCAAAAAGCTTTTTTTGTTTAATTCATTATTCATCCCAGAATTTCTTTTTTCTAAAGATTTTATTTATTTATTTTTAGAGAGAGGGCAAGGGAGGGAGAAAGAGAAGGAGAGAAACATTAGTGTGTGGTTGCCTCTCATGTGGCCAACACTGAGGACCTGGTCCACAACCCAAGCATGTGCCCTGACTGGGAATTGAACCAGCAGTCTTTTAGTTCACAGTCCGCCCACAATCCACTGAGCCACACCAGCCAGGGTTCATCCCAGAATTTCTTTCTTAACGACTTTACTAGATTAAAATTGTGATAAAACCATTTAGTTTTTTAAAACTTAATTATAAAAACAAGGATTTTATTTGTCATTGACAGTAAAAGGGAAGAAAAGAAAAAATTGATTTTAAAACAGTCTAAATTGTTTTTATTTTGATTTGATTACTTCATACTTAAGTGATCATTTCTCTTTCAGTCTGAAGTTGACAAGCAGCAGCATAGACACTGGTCTGAGTATCAAGCAATTGGGTGGTTTGTATATAAATTTTAATGCAGACAAACTACAGTCAAACAAGAAAACCCTAACACAGATCAAGGAGAAAAAGAAAAATGAGGTAAGTTGTATGATGTGTCCTAGAGGCTTTGATGGAGTTAGCCAGTTACTTCTAGAAATGATTAGACCTTGATAAGAGACTAATTTTTCTGTAGTCACATCAGCTTCCTGTATCCTTTACTCCCCTGCTTTCCACAACAGTTGTTTCTTGTTTTTACAAAGTCCTAGCTGTAAAAGATAACACTTGAAAAAATAAAGTAATACAGGACCAATGTTCTTGCACCCACCAGTTATGATCCCAGGGATTGTATTCTTTTCCCTCTTTTTTTTACCATACTTTTAGTTCTTAACTGTTCTGGATTGTGAGACCAGAATAGTTAGGAATCTGAAATCTGTGGAGAGAATCTGCAAGCTGTGAGTGTCTGCCTCCCCCACCAGGATAAAGTGCACAAGTGCACACAGACATAAACTTGTACATTTAGTTTCAGAAGGGAATTAACAGGGGAGGTCAACTCATCCAAACACCCAGGTTTAGCTGCCACTTCACACAGCTTCTCCCCACGTCTGTATTTTCTAGACTTGCTCCCTCTTTGAGTCTTTCTTTGGGTTTTTAAATCCAGGCGCCTGTTTTCTGTTCCTTCATATGTCCTCAGGCACTTGACCTCACTAATTGCCCTACTTCTGTTCCCTGCCTGAACCAGCTCTTCCTCTTGTGTTCTCTATCCTGGTTAATGATGCCAAAGTCTTTCTGTTTTACAGTCACTAAGCCTAGGCTACAATGCTTCTTACGTACTTTCTGCTCCTTTTAAACCCACTGTTGCAGGCTCATGCAGGCCTGTATTTTTCATCTAGACTCCTACAGTAGTCTCCTTACTCTTTGTTCTTCATGCTGTTCTCCACACTCTTGCTAGAGTTTCTAAAAACATAATCCAACTGTGATACTCTTTTTTTAAAGATTTTACTTACTGATTTTTAGGGGAAGGGAGGGAGAAAGAGAGGGGGAGAGATACCAATGTGTGGTTGCCTCTCGTGCGCCCCCAACTAGGGACCTGGCCTACAACGCAGGCATGTGCCCTGACTGGGAGTCAAACCAGTGATCTTTAGGTTCACAGGCCAGCACTCAGTACTCAACCACATCAGCCAGGGCCCAACCATATTTTCTTGTTCAAGTCCTTCAGTGGTTCCTCAAAGCCTTCAAAATGCCTCTGTTCCTCCAGCTCTATCCAACTGCTGTGTTCTCACCCTTGAGACTGCTACAGACCTGAGCATAGCTGGCCCTTTCCCAGGCCAATGCAGGGATCATAGGTCACTGTCTTTGGAAAACAGTCTTTGACCCTAGTCCTTCCCCCAACCTCCGTTGTGCTTCTGCAACACCCAGTATCAGTCAGATTCATTGTTAATCATGGTATAATGATTATTTTACTGAATTTTATCTTTGTATTCCTGAAACAGGATTTTTCAAGTTCAGCAATATTTATGTTAGGAGCTGCACAGTTCTTTGTTTGGGGGAGGGGTCTGGACGTTGTAGGATGTTTAGCAGCAGCCCTGGCCTCTACCCACTGGATGGGAATAACATCCACCCTCCCCATACACACACACACCAAAAATGCCTTCAGATATTGCCATTTGCTCCCAATTGAGAACCACTGTCCTAAACTGTAGTATGGTACTTAACACACAATAGACTCTTAATAATCTGTTAAATGTCATGCTCTTTTTTCTGAGTGATAGGAAAGTCTAGATCACTACTGTACTACCCAGAAACTTCTAAGTCTGAACCTGAACTGGGGATGTCTCAGTTGATAACATCAAATGTTACTTACCAAATTTATATTGCTGTATTCCTGTTGAATTATTTTGAGGACTAAGCAGTAGTCTTCTTTACTTCTTGCACTGGGGGAAATGACTTATTACCCTGAGGCTTCCTTGAGTCACAGAAGTGGTATTATGATAATATTTAATCATTCAAAGCAAGTAACAAAATATGCTGAAGTAAATTAGGAAAAGATGAACAGATTTGACTGAACACAAATTTCAAACTCAAACTTAAGCAGTTAAGCCCAGAATGGTGTGGCTCAATTGTGTGTCAGCCTGCAAAACAAAAGGTCGCTGGTTCGATTCCGGTTAGAGTACATGGCTGGGTTGTGGGTTTGGTTCCTGGTTGGGGCGCATACAGGAGGCAACCAGTGGTGTTTGTTATGTCCATGTTTCTCTCCCTCTGTTTCTCCCTCCCTTCCCTTCTCTCTAATAAATAAAATCTTTAAAAAACTTAAGCAATTAAAAACACCTTAACAAAGACAAGTAAAAGACTACAGATTAATATCAAGCAAGATACAAAATACATTTCTACAAATTAATAACACAACCCTATTTAAAAATGAAGAAGTATCCAGAAAAGTACAAATATTCCCACAGAAGAGGGCTTTGTGTATAGAGATGTGGACAGCAAATGAAAATAGCCAAGAGATACCACTGATAGCATACAAAAGATAACACCCTGTGTTGGTGGCAATATAGAGAAAAGGGCCGTGATTAACTGTTAGTAGGAGTTTATACTATTTGCAAGGCAATTTACCATTACCTACAAAATTTTTAAAATATTTTAATATATTTATTATGCTATTACAGTTGTCCCACTTACCCCCTTCACTCCCCTCCCGAGTACCCATTCCTCCCTTTTAGTTCATGTCCATGGGTCATACATGTAAGTTCTTTGGCTTTACATTTCCCATACCATTCTTACCCTCCCCCTTTCTATTTTCTACCTACCATCTATGCTACTTATTCTCTGTACCTTTTTCCCCCTTCTCCTCCTCCCACTCCCCTGTTCCTAACCCTCCAAGTGATCTCCATTTCTGTGGTTCTGTTCTTCTGTTCTAGGTGTTTGCTTAGTTTGTTTCTATGTTTGTTTTAGGTGTAGTTAATGATTGTGAGTTTGCTCTCATTTTACTGTTTATATTTTTTATCTTCTTTTTCTTAGATAAGTCCCTTTAACATTTCATATAGTAAGGGCTTGGTGATGATGAACTCCTTGAACTTGACCTTACCTGAGAAGCATTTTATCTGCCCTTCCATTCTAAATGAAAGCTTTGCTGGATAGAGCAATCTTGGTTGTAGGTCCTTGTCTTTCATGACCTGGAATACTTCTATCCAGCCCCTTCTTGCCTGTAAGGTCTCTCTTGAGAAATCAGCTGACAGTCTGATGGGAACTCCTTTGTAGGTGACTGTCCCCTTATCTCTTGCTGCTTCTAGGATTCTCTCCTTCATTTTAATCTTGGCTAATGTAATTATGATGTGCCTTGGTGTGTTCCTTCTTGGGTCCAACTTCTTTGGGACTCTCTGATTTTCCTGTAAGTCTATTTTCTTTGCCAGCTTGGGGAATTTCTCCTTTATTATTTGTTCAAATAACTTTTCTACTTGTTCTTCCTCTTCTCCTTCTGGTACCCCTATAATTTGGATGTTGGAGCGTTTAAAGATGTCCTGGAGGTATATCTTCGTAAGCCTCTCCTCATTTTTTTGAATTCTTGTTTCTTCATTCTTTCCTGGTTGGATGTTTCTTGATTTTGGTCCACACCATTGATTTGAGTCCCAGATTTCTTTCCATCACTATTGGTTCCCTTTACCTTTTTCTTTACTTCACTTAGCGTAGCCTTCGTTTTTTTTTTTTTTTTTAATCTAATTTGCAACCAAATTCAACCAATTCTGTGAGCATCCTGATTACCAGTGTTTTGAACTGTGCATCTGGTAGGTTGGCTATTTCTTCATCGCTTAGTTGTATTTTTTCTGGAGCTTTGATCTGTTCTTTCATTTGGGACATGTTTTTTTTGTCTTGATGTGCCTGTTACGTATGAGGGGCGGAGCCTTAGGTGTTCACTAGGGTGGGTCACCCCATGTCCCTGCTTTGTGACATTGGGGGGGGGGTCCAAGTGGGAACAATGGCACTTGCTCCATTCTCTGCAGGCTTTCAGGTACTTGCCCACTTCCCCCAAGTAAAGTGGGCCCTTCTGGTGCTGATTCCTGGGTGTGTGGGCTTGTGTACATTCCAGGACCCTATGGGTCTCTCCAACAAACTCTTCCGTGAGGCTGGGAGTTTCCCCTGGCACCTCAACCCCCACAGGTGTCCTCAGTCAGTGGTTTGAGGCTCTATTTCCCCACGCTGGGGCCCCCGGGCTGGGGCTCTGGGTTGCGTTGTATGTCCTGCTCCCCAGTTGTTTATCCTGGTCTATTTGCATGCAAATGTGGGACTGCCTAGTCCCCAGTCTGCTGTCTTGCCTGTCTGCCCACTGCTGCCTTGCTGGCCAGCTGCAGCCTTGCACTCCCCATTCCACAAACTGCCACTTCACTGGGTCTGCCCGCTGCTGCCTTGCCTGCCCCAGTCCTCCAGCCACTGCCTTGCTGCGAGTCCTCTCCGCCTGGCTGCCTTTCTCTGCCCCTCCTACCAGTCTGGATGAGTGTTTCTTCTTTAACTCCTTGGTTGTCAGGCTTCCATACAGTTCGGTGTTCTGTCAGTTCTGGTTGTTTCTTGTTTTTAAACTGTTGCCCTTCTTTTGGTTGTTTGAGGAGGCACAGTGTGTCTACCCTGTGCCTCCATCTTGGCCAGAAGTCCTGCCTATAAAAATTTTAAATGACAATTTTTTAATCTATTTTACAGAAATAATTACAAATGTGCAGAGGTGATGTTTACAATATTTAATGGAAAAAAGTTTAATGGGGACAAAGTAAATGTCAGAAGAAAAACCAGTGTATAACAGCTGTTAATAAGAAAGCTGTTGATCTGTGTATAAAATGACATTGAAAGATCATCCAAGATACATTGAGTTGCAAAAGGTGGATTTGTCTACATAGGATTGTCCCATTGGTATGACATAAAAAGTATATGTTGTTGAGTCAAAAGCTATATCGCTATACTTATCAGTAGTCTTGACAGTCTGCTTAGATTATAAGCTGTTTTACCCACATCAAGAAAACTTACTAAAATCTGGTCAGGTTTTTCTCAGGGATTTCAAGAGCTATGTGGCATTATTCCCATCGCCTTTATATTCCAGTTGTTTGCTGCAGGTGGCTGTTTGCAAACCCATTCGTGCAAGTGGACACGATGTAAATCTGATGTGTGCAGATTCACACCAGTAATTTGAGCTGATGATTGATTTTATAGATCTCCTAAAGTAATCCTTTAGTTTGCCTCCTAAAACATTTTAAAAATATTTTTATTTACTTATTTTTAGAGACAGGTAAAGGGAGAAAAAGGGAAAGAAACATCAATGTGTGAGAAACATCCATCGGTTGCATGTCACACGCACCCCAACTGGAGACCGAGCCTGCAGCCCAGGCATGTGCTCTGACTGGGGATGGAGCCAGGCGACCTTTTACTTTGTGGGACAAGGCTCAACCAACTAAGCCACACCAGTCAGAGCTCCTAAAACATTTTTATTGTAATCCAATTTACAAATTTAAGGACGGGAAACTTCATAGTAGTGTGTTTGTGTATAAAGAGAGTTAATATATTTGGAATAGTCTTTAGTCTGAGAGATGTTTCCTTAGACAAAAAAATGTTGAAAAAGTTGCATGACATTCTGAAATTTTAAAACCAATTTAATATTTTTATAGATAATGCAGAAAGCCATCATTACTCCTGATTTTGAAAAAAACTACTGTGTCCCACCATATCGTGAGTCAAAGTACCAACTTCAGAAGAAACGCAGAGTAAGTACAGTGACTCTCATCATTGACAGTGTTTTAGATGTATGTGTATATGCTGTGTTCAGCTCATATACAATTCAGCTCAAATGGTAATACAATTTAAAAGTATATGTATTTTCGAGAAAATTGTCACAGATACCCAAGGGCCCATAAAATAGGGTTCTATAAACATGTTTTGTATGGATGGATTTTCACAAAGTGAAAGTGCACTGAGTGGTACACATAGACACAACTTTTTTTCCCCTTAAAAATAGTGACAGTCACCATTTAAAGTCACTGTCCATACTGCTTGGCTTATCAGTACTCTTGTCTGTTGCATTCTCAAAATCTGGTCTGTTTAGTCTGCCAAATGAGAGGATAGAAACTCTTTTCTTTAGAAAAACGTAGGGGTTGCTTCCATCTGGTGTTTCAGCTAGTAAGCATAAAGAAGTTATCGAAAGTTTGAAGGAAATTTGAGAGAGGCACTCTAATGACGTCATGTCGCTATTATAAAGCACCTTGGCACATGGTAGATACTTCATAGCATTGGTTGTATCAAGGGAACAGAATATAAAATCAAGCAAATTACTTGCTAGGAGTTTTTAAAAGAATAGATTTTTTAAAAAAAATAATGCAAATTTCTGGACGGTTGAAGTGAATGACTTTGAGATACCTGGGGAACTGCATGAAAGTGTTAATGTTTACATATCAGCTTCAGAAGTGAAACTGTTTTTACATGTTATCTCTTGTGTAGGCTATTTTAGACAATAGAAATAAAAGCTGTGGGTTATTCTCCCAACAAGTCAGCAATTCTTAACTAAAATACAAAGTTGAATTTAAAGGATCCCTTATTTATGAAACTCCTAGTGCTTTACCTAATTTACCAGAGAAATCGCTTTTTTGTTGTTTCATTCCTTAATGAAAGATGAATCTGAAGACTAATACATTCTGTAAAGTAACTTTGTTACTAATGAAATTTTCGTATGTACAATTTTGGGGGAAATAAGTATAGTTTATACACTGTTTATTGAAGTTACAATTTTCTCTTTGTTTTTGAAATCTGAATTTTAGAAAGAACGACAAAAAACAGCAGGTAATGGCTGGTTTGGTATGAAAGCTCCAGAATTAACAGATGAACTGAAGAATGATCTCAAAGCACTGAAGATGAGAGCTGGGATGGACCCAAAAAGGTTTTACAAGAAAAACGATAGGGATGGCTTCCCTAAGTACTTCCAGGTATGAAGCAAATGGAATAACGGTGATGATGAAGCATTGTGCTGTGATCTTTCTGTTTACTCTTAAAATAGATACATACTTATATCTGCTCAGGCAGTACAGTAATGGCCAGACCCCAATTCAGGCAGCTACCAACTTGTAATGACTTTCCATACAGAGAGACAGTGTTGCAGATGGTAACTAGGTTCATAGGTCAGCTTTCTAAGTGTTTTGGAACCTGTAAGATGGCTGTTCCATTTATCACTACTACTAGCCTAAGAGCAAGGATTCTTACAGAATGGACAACAAAAGCGGGACTCATTTGCACCAACTCTTCTTCAGGGTAGAGGGGTATCCCCAGCCAAATTCTGGAAATAAGTTAAAAATTGGTTTTCAAAGTGTTTTCAGGTGAAGTCCAGTGGAGTCATCCTCTGGGAGCCCTCAAGTTCATTTTGTTCTTCTTGACTACCTTTCTTGTCACTCATCTGGGTTATTGTAATGGTCCTTTGCATCCAGTTCTGCTCTCCTTTCTAAGTCCATTCTTTACACGTAACCAGGCATCTATTCTTTAAAAGGGGTGGGGAGGGCAGTCAGTCCAGGATACACCTCTGTTAAATGGTATCACAGATATCATTCAGTGTTACTTTCAACAGTTCTTTGTGACCTATAGGGTAGTATCTTCACCCCTTTTTTAAAAATATGTTTTATCGATTATGCCATTACAATCGTCTCATTCCCCCCTTCATTTCCCTCCACCCTGCACACCCACTCCCCCCATTCCCCCCTTTAGTTCATGTTCATGTGTCACAAGTTCTTTAGATTCTATATTTCCCATACTACTCTTGCCCTCCCCGTCTATTTTCTACCTACCATCTATGCTACTTATTCTCTGTACCTTTTCCCCCTCTCTCTTCCCACTGTCCTGTTGATAACTCTCCATGTAATCTCCATTTCTGTGGTTCTGTTCCTATTCTAGTTGTTTGCTTAGTTTGTTTTTGTTTTAGGTGTGGTTGTTAATTGCGAGTTTGCTGTCATTTTACTGTACATGTTTTTGATCTACTTTTTCTTAGATAAATTTCTTAACATTTCATATAATAAGGGCTTGGTGATGATGAACTTTTTTAACTTGACCTTATCTGAGAAGCACTTTATCTGTCCTTCCATTCTAAATGAAAGCTTTGCTAGATAGAGCAATCTTAGATGTAGGTCTTTGGATTTCGTGACTTGGAATACTTCTTTCCAGCCCCTTCTTACCTGTAAGGTCTCTTTTGAGAAATCAGCTGACAGTCTGATGGGAACTCCTTTGTAGGTGACTGTCCCCTTATCTCTTGCTGCTTCTAGAATTCTCTCCTTCATTTTAATCTCGGCTAATGTAATTATGATGTGCCTTGGTATGTTCCTTCTTGGGTCCAACTTCTTAGGGACTCTCTGAGCTTCCTGGAAGATATTACCTTTGCCAGGTTGGTGAAGTTTTCCTTTATTATTTGTTCAAATAAGTTTTCCACTAGTGGCTGTTCCTCTTCCCCTTGTGGTGCCCCTATAATTTGGTTGTTGGAATGTTTAAAGATGTCCTGGAAAGGTTCCTAAGCCTTTCCTCATTTTTTTTTTAATTCTTGTTTCTTCATTCTTTTCTGTTTGCTCGGTTTTTTTCTTCCTTCTGGTCTACTCCCTTGATTTGAGTCCCAGTTTCCTTCCCATCACTATAGGTTCTCTGTGCGTTTTCCTTCATTTCACTTAGTGAAGCCTTCATTTGTTCCTCTAATTTATGACTAAAATCAACCAGTTCTGTGAGCATCCTGGTCACCAGTATTTTGAACTGTGCATCTGATAGGCTGTCTCGGTTGCTTAGAAGTATTGGCTCTGGGGCTTTGAGCTGTTCTTCTGCTTGAGCCATAAGGTTTTGGTCTGTTTGCGCATGTTACATATGAGGCGTGGAGCCTTATGTGTTCACCGGGGCAGGGCAGCCCAGGTCGCTGGGTTGTGACGCTGTATGTGGAGTGGGGTCAGAGAGGGGCAATGGTGTTTTTTCCTGCTCTCGGATTTTGGTTCCCTCTGCTGCTTCCCACAAGTAAATTGGGCCCTTCTGGTGCTAGTTCCCAGATGTATGGGCTTGTGCACCCTCCAGAAGCCCTGGGTCTCTCCTGAACTCTCTGTGAGCCTGGGAGCCTCTCCCAGCACCTTGACCCCAGAAAGTTTTTCCAGTTGGTGCTTTTAGGCTTTATTTACCAGCGCTGGGGCCTTGGTTTGCATGGTCTATCTCACTGCTCATTCCTTTGCCTGGTTTATCTGTGCATGAATGTGTAACCGCAGTCAGCCAACCGCCTTGCGCCCTCACTGGGTCCGCCCATTGCTACCCCCCACCTGGGATCTACCAACCGCTGCCTGTGTGCCTGGGTTGGTCCAGCTGCTTTTTCCTACGTGACCCTGCTCTTCCAGCCTCCGACTCTGCCTCTCTTACTGATCTGGATGAATGGTTTGTTGTTGTCGGACTTCGGTACAGCTTAATTTTCTCTCTGTTCTGGTTGCGTTCTGGTTTTTGAATATTTTTTGTTCATAAACTTGGTTGTGTGAGGAGGTACAATGTTTCCACCTACGCCTCCATCTTGGCTGGAAGTCCAGAGTCTTCACCCCTTGATGTGGGCCTTCACAGTCACAGTTTGCACCCAAACTGGGTCACCAACCCCTGCTTTGTCACAGACTGTTGTTGGCGTTTGACTTTCCACATGCTTGGCCCTGCCATGTGTGCTTGGTGGAATTTTACTCATAACAACCCAAGCTAATAGGTCATCTTTTGTGAAACCTTTACCTGTCTTAGACAGAATTGGTCACTTAGTTTTTAGAGCATCTGAAATGTTCAGCATCATACTATGATACATTTCTTTGTTTGTTTAAAGATTTTATTTATTTTTTGGACAGGGAAAGGGAGGGAGAAAGAGATGGAGAAAAACATAAATGTGGGGTTGCCTTTGTTGTGCTTCCAGCTGGGGACCTGGCCCGCAACCCAGGCATGCGCCCTGACTGGGAATCAAACCAGCGATCCTTTTGTTTGCAGGCTGGTATTCAATCTGCTGAACTATACCAGCTAGGGCTCTATGTCATGTATTAATTGTTTAGTTACCTGTCTGTGGATCTTCCCTTTAAGACTATGGGCTACTCACTGCCAAGGATCATTATCTTATTTTTCCTATACCTAGAACAGTGCCTGGCACATGGTAGACACTCAGTGCAATTCACTTGGTTGAATGTATGTACTAATGCAGAGTGGTCAATGCGAAGGTTCTAAGCTGGCAGCATTTATTATAATCTAGGAGATCAAATAGGTGTATAGTAGAATTTTTATGTCAATTTCATTAAATTGGGAAGCTAAAACAAGAGTTTATCTCCCCTGCTTTTTCCCTCTAAGTCACATTGTTCATTAAGAATTTACTGTCTGGCACCAAATTTTATAAAAGGAATTTTGGATTTATTATAAACTACTGGAGAAATGTTTTTAGGACCTACAGATTGAATAGGTTATTTTTGCTTTTAAAAATGGCAAAATTAATATTGGTATAATACACACTTAAGTTTTCATGCCTTTCAATAAATACACTTTCTTAGAGCTACTCTGAAATAGGAAAGTAATGTGGCACACAGGTATTAATGACCTATTTCAATCACCTGTTCATAGATTGGAACCATTGTTGACAATCCAGCTGACTTCTACCATTCACGAATTCCCAAGAAACAAAGAAAGAAAACTATTGTGGAAGAACTGCTGGCTGATTCTGAGTTCAGAAGGTAAAGGAGTTTGTTTCACTTTATAATATGTATGCTTTCCTTTAGAATATGCTTAAAAATTCCAGATTACTTTTAAATACTTTAGCACTCTTTCTCAACAGCAGCACTACTTACATTTTGGGTGGGATAATTCCTTATTACAGGAGACTTTGATGGGCATGGTAGGCTGTTTAGTGGTATCCTTGGCCTTTATTCCCACCATATGCCAGTAACAACCCCCATTCATGACAATCAAAAATGTCTTCAGTCATTTTCAGATGTTCCCTGCAGGATGTAAGCATTCCCAGTTTAGAGCAACTGCTTTAGAGAGAAGCTGAAAAATATTTGACAGACTAGAGGAGAATGAGCCTGCAGAAGAGACTGGGAAAGAATAGCAGGGGGATATTGAGAAAACCAGAAAAGCACAATGTCATAGGAAAGAGAATGTTTTAAACAGGTATAAGCCAGTGAGCATGGTTAACAAGAAATGCTCTGGGAGATCAAATGAAATAAAAACTTCTTGGGGATTTAATTACAGTAACTTTGGCAGGAGTTTTAGGGGAGTGATGGGAAAGAAAACAAGCAGAGAATGAGTTGAAAATGAAGCAATGGACACAACTCTTTAAAGAAGTTCTGTTGTGAGGAGGAAGGGAGAGGCAGGGCTAGTAGGTAAGGACTTAGAGGATTTTTTTAAGATGGGAGTAATCCGAGTGAGTTTAAATGTCCTTGAAGCAGCTACATATATATTATAGGAGATTTAAAAGTATACCTCATATAAAAACCTCTGCTAAAAGTTCCAGATTGGTTTAAAATCAAAATTAAAAATATTTATCAAGGATTCTAAAAATAATATAGATTGTAGGTATAGAAAACAAATTTAGCTCAAAATGTTATATAAGCTATTAAATGAGTCTGGGTAAAAAAATTAGAAATAAGCACTATCAACATTGCTCTGATTCGTGAGATTGCCTTCATCAAGACTACAAAATGTAGGTCAGTTTTATCCACAACATGCGGTTAACACTGAGGTAAGTGTTAAAACATTAAAAAACATCTTAGAATGAGGAAGTTGAGGTGGTAGACTAGAAATGTAGTAGCATGAAACTCAAACTTGCAGGTTAGAGGTTGTCGTATGGGTTCATCGTTTCCCATACCTCAGTCACTGAATACCACTTTCATAGTCTTGTGCAGTTACCTGTATACTGCCTACTTTATTCTAACGGGAGCGAGACTTTATTGCTACTGTGAGTTTGTTAATAGTTTCCTAAATACACTAAGATAAACTACATTACTTAAAAAGAATATTGTCCTAAATTTACATGCCAAAATATGTGAAACACTGCGCGTCCAAGTCTTCACAGCAAATTTTAATCAGTCCCCCCTGCAGCTGCCTCGAGGTTTTCTCTGACCACTTTGGAACAGGGAACTTCTCCGAGTGTATTTAATGCATCAGATATTCATTAGTAGGAATGCCCTGGGACAGAAGAAAATGCTTTTCTGTGTTATATGTGGTTTTTGGTTTTGTCTCATTTTTAATCCAACCTTAGATTTGTTAGAAAGTCTGTGGAAACTGTGCTCTTAGGATTGAGTGAGCTATGAAGTTAAAAGGTTGAAATCAGGGCTTCCCATCCCTGGGGCCACCGACCAGTATCAGTTTGTGGCCTGTCAGGAACTGGGCCGCACGGCAGGAGGTGAGCTTGAATACAGTGCACTTGAATCATCCTGAAATCGGTGCCAAAAAGTTGGGGACCGCTGGTTTAAATAACTTCTGCTTTAAAGAGAATCAGACTTAAGTAACACAGTGGATGTGCTAAACAGAGGAGTTACGCGTGTTAGAGAATTTTTTAACGTTTCGTAATTAACTATGGACTAATAGCCCTTTTGTTGAAGCTCCTAGCTACTACAGCATTTTTTTGCAATAAATTGTGCTTTTGTGTTTCTAAAGCCCAATGGAGAGATATAGTCTATAGCAGCAATTCTCTGGTCAGAAGATGCTTTTAAAAAACTCTGGAGAATTATTGAAGACCTAAAGAACTTCTGTGGGTTACATTGATCAATATTTATCATAATAGAAATTAGAATTAAGAAACTAAAAATGTTCATTAATTCATTTTTAAATAATAACAAACCCACTATACACTAATATTTTTATGAACAAAACAAAAATAACAATTTAAGTTTCTTTAATGTCTGGCTTAAACTTGAAGCCTCGTATGTGCTTCTGCGTGAGTGTGCTCTGGAAAGCTCTGCCGCACGCTGGCGGGATGGCGAGCGTGAAGGGGGCAACAGCATCGTCATGTTCTTGTAGAACAGTGTTACCTAATGGACCTGAAAGGGGCTCGTTCCCAGGCCACCCTTTGAAAACCATCGGTCTGTGATCTATTTTTAAGGTTCTAAAAAGGATACTATGTGTTTTCAGGTAACTGTAAACTTTGTTTTGCTTAGTCCTGTTTTAACATTTTTAACTCACAAAGTATTTAAAGCATTTGATATTAGCTGGATGTTTGTACAGAATCTCTAGTGACTGAAAATTTACAAAAGCTTCCCTGTACAGTTGTCTTTCCTCATTAGACCATCAGCCTCATGAGGGCAGGGGCTTTGGCTGCCTGGTTCACTCCCCTGTCATCAGCCCCTGGTATGGCTCCCTACACATGGGAACTTAGTGTAGTAACGATGAATGGACGGTAAAAATGAAAAGAAAAAATGAGATTTAAAAGCGGGCACTGCCTCCCCAGAATGTTACATAACTGCCCAACGTGTCATACTTTAGAACTTACAGGTTTGGTTTTTATTTTTAGATATAACCGAAGGAAGTACTCAGAGATCATGGCTGAAAAAGTAGCAAATGCAGCAGGAAAGAAGTTTCGAAAGAAGAAGAAATTTCGCAATTAAGATTCACCAAGCAAACCACAGTATTCTACATCTCCCCTTTATTTATTTACTAAAGGTGTGTTTGAAAACTAACTCCATCACAAAAAATTAATGTAGACTGGCCCTATTTATTTATAGGAATTTCTGTTTGGAAAAGTTGGTTTGAGAGAAAAATTTAATTTTCCAAATTAAATTTGGAAAACAAATTTAATTGCCATTTTTGTGAAGTTTTTAATGTCGGTTATTTAAAAAATTGAATTAAATGACATTCAGAAACTGTAAAGTTTGCTAACATTCAGAAAACTCGAATGTGATCAAAGATATACATACCAATATTGTAATTAACAAGATTTTAAATAAAGATTTGCATAGGAGTGTGTGTGTGTGTGTGTGTGTGTGAGAGAGAGAGAGAGAGAGAGATGGCAGACAGGAAATGTCCTTTTGTCAGCTGTGAATTCAGAAAACGCAGGTGCTGAGATCTGCTTGTGGCCAGTATCATAGTTACAGTTGAAACCAAAGGAATGGTGCAAAACGACTTAAAAAAGAATGAAGACTACCCAGAAAGTTTGGGTTAAAGCTGATGAAAAAAGAAGGGCCTTCAAAATACCCTAACCCTTTTTGAGAGATTTCTAAAAATGTCTTATTTCAAAATGTTTTTAAGACAGCGTATTTTTAAGTAAGGAAATTGGGAAAAGGAAAGTGAGGATGGAGGAAATCAGATGAAGCCAGGGTGAGAGTTAATAAGACAATTCTATGAGACTTGAACAGTTGGTAAAGGTGGGCCCCAAGTTTTCTAGCATCTGACACAAAAATTACTTCCGTGCCAGTGTTCTGCCATAAGGTAACACTACTTAAGAGAGATTTTATATTGAGACCTGCCAAAATGCCCCTGGGTCCTCCCCGTAACAGGGATGTCAGGTGAGGCAATACTCAGCTGTCCAGAGGATAAATGGCAAGGTTTTTTAAGAAAAAGAAGAGAGGGGTAGGGACAGAGGCTATATAGAAAAGCTCAGGAAAACTTTGAGTCACGTTTTGGAGTGATTTAGGGATCCCACTCTTCGAATGAGAAATGGGAGGAAAACAAGCTCATGAAAAATAATTCAAACTTTCAAGCAATAACTATTTTTCAAATAACAGTAACATTTTATTGAAAGTTTTTAGTAAGGCTTAAAAAAATGCTTTTTAGGTAACAAACTCCCCAAGCATCTGACTGACTAAACTGTAAAACTCATCCTGTTACACAGTTTAGGTAACCCGAGGTAAACTGTGAGGTGGGTGCTACAGTTATCCTCATTTTCTAAGTGAAGGAACGGTCACAGGTTAAGTGACCTGGCCAAGGTCAGAGCTAGTAAGTATGATGTTTTCTGTCACTTATTTTGGCCTCGCACTATAGCTGTCTGCACACCTTTTTCTACGTCACCATCAGAAATTGCTGAATTTGGCCCTTTACTTACAGAACATGATTTTTAGCTGAGACTGTGGCCCTCTGTCAGGAAGCTGTGACTCCCAACCTTTCATCGGATGCGGCTGAAAGTGCCCTTCAAAGAAGGATGAATTTAGAGTGGGGCTCTGTCCCTTTATCTTCTCCCCACTGACCGGTGTGTCCACCTGATGGCGAAAGCAATCTTGGACCATGATGCAGGAGATGCATTTTTAAGGGAGAAACGATGAGGAGGAGCCTGGATCCTCATGATCCAGTAGCTGTCACTCCCTGCACTTTCACATGAGAGAAAAGAAACCTCTCTAGCCAAATCCACTCCTGTTTTGAGTTTCCTGTCACTCGAAGCCAGAGCCAGTCCTAATGGACTCACCAATCCATGGCTCTCTGTCCCTCACCAGGATGAAAGACTCTTAAGAAAATGCAATTTCAGTTTTTCCTTCTGATATAGTTCCTTGCACAAAGACAGTTCTCAAAAAATAGGTATCAATTTGAAGGTGAATGAAGATATGATACATATACTATGTATATACATTTGTGGGGGGAGATATATATATATTTGCTTTTATTGAAATATTTTCTGGGCACTGCCCACTACCTAATTCAACATAGCCCATTTGGTACCAAAAGCTGGAGAACAAAAAACCAGAAACAAAAATAAGACTGGACATTTCTGACTGTGCAGTACGTGAACCAAAGGCATTTGGTACACAAGAACTGTGGGGACATTGGGTGTAGGGTGGGTGCTGGGAGTGGCAAAAGCTTGACCCAGGAACCTCAGGGAACTGGGCACAGGCTGCTACAGGTGAAGTGGCCAGTAATCAAGGCCAGCATCCCTGAGATGCCACTCAGTACCACCTGATGGGATCTAGAAAGCCCCAGATCAGCAGTAAATGGAAATGAAACCACTCCTGGCCACTGGTCTTGAGTCTGTACTGGGCACAAGTGGCAATAAGATGAAAGGTCTCCGCCCTTTGTAGCAGCTCCCACTTTGTCAGTACCTTCCTGGGATCCTGGGTATGTGTGGCAGAGCTGTAAAAAGAGCACAAAGAAAACAGGTCCTCAAACCAGCTCCTTCAATTTTCCCTTCACCTTCATGCTTTTCTCTTCCCTCTTCCTACTTGCCTCAGAACAGCAGGCACTTTTCCATCATTCCTAAACTAATCCTTTCACTTTATTCCCCTAACATCTTTGCACCATAATTTTCTCATCTGTAAAATGAGGGTAATTTGTACTTAGGATTCGGGAGATAATTAAATGGCAAGTGTTAAAGTTGTTGGCATAAAGTAGGTGTTTAGAAAAATGTGAGCTGCTGCTTTTGTCCTCTCGACTCCCTTCTCTACAGGAAACCTGCTGCATCAGAAAAGGCAACCCTGTCCTGGTGTTCTTCCTACCCCTCTGGCTGCACTCTTGGTGTCTTTGAAGACCTCATTCTTTGCCTGTCATTCAGATGTCTGCTCTGGGCTTCTGTCTTCAACTCACCTCTTCTCACTCTGTACTCCCTGCATGATCTCATCTATGTCCAGAGTCTTAAGTGTCTTTGCAGGATAATGAATTTTAAGTCTCAAGCCTGGATCAGTCTCCTGAGCTCCAGACCTTCTGTTCCTCCCCTCTTTCCACATACCTACCTTCCTTTAGTTCTTTCATTCAATAAATGTATTGAGAGCTTGCTCTGTCGTTGGCATGGCATATCCAGCTGCCACTGTACATCTCCAGGGTGTTCCACAGAGACCTCAAACTCAACCCAGGGAAATCTGTACTTGTACTCAGTTTTCCCTCAAACCCGCTTCTTCACTGCCTCCGTGACTATTTTAGCATCCACCTATCTGCCCTAATTAGAAATGGGAGCTTTTCTGGCTGCTCCCTCACCCTCCGGCATATATCCCTTAGTTCGTCAATTAAGTCCCACCAATCCGACCTCCTTTGTTATGCCTCCAGTTTGTACACTTCATGTCTCCTCAAACCACCTCCCAATTCCAGTGCTCATCATTTTCTTACCTAGGTGGCTGCAGCTGCTCTGAGCTGGTATATTCCAGGCTCTGGTCTTCCTATTCCACACAGCAGGGATCCACACAGCAGCCAGAGGGATGGTACAAGATACATATGCACACACTGCTTCCCACCTAAAAGCTACAAAGTGGTTTTCCATCCTTAACATGGTGCATATGACCTTCAGGACATGATACCTGCTGGGATCATTCTGTAAATCTTGATCACATGCTTCTCCACTCTTAGCACAAAGAGCTAATATGAGGTGTATTTATGGCTGAGATCCAGCATGTAGTAGAGTGTAAGGGGTCAATAAATGTTAAATCAAGTTAGAAGATATTTAATGGAAAAGCACTGTCAGGGCTGCCATGTACAAGTGATTTAAGAATAGGCACAAAATGCTTTTTTCCCCCTTCCTCATTAGCATTTAGGGTGTTTAACCTGTACCTTTTTTTTCCCCAGGAATTTACCTTTACCTTTTTAAAACTAACTCTGTATTACAAGGATAAGGTAGGCTTATTATGAAGAAGACTCAAACATTACTGCTGCCTCTCTTGCCCCAGGACTGTTATCTGTATATCCTTCTGGATATTGTCCATGCACACACAGTCAGAGTAATACGTGTTATCACTATTATTGCCCAGGGCATTGGGTTGCTGGCCAGGTCCTCAGTGGGGGGCACTTGAAAGGCAACCACACATTGATGATTCTCCCCTTCTCTTTATCCCTCCACTTCTCCTCTCTAAAAATAAAACCTTTTAAAAATAAAAAATTAAGTGTACAGTTTAGTAGGTTTTTATGTATTACGAGTTGTACGATTATCACCACTAATTCCAGAACATTTTCATCACCCCCCTAGAAAAAACCCACACCCATTAGCAGGCACTTCACATCCCAGCACCTGACGACCACTAACGTATCTTCTGTGTTTTGGATATCTACTATACAGCTGACCCTTGACCAACTCGTGTGAACTGCACGGGTCCACTTAGATGCATATTTTTTTTCAATGAATACCTGTACTGTTTAAATCCATGGTTGGAAGTCTGTGGATATGGATGGCTGACTGCATACACTGATCTTTGCAATTTTATAAAAGTTTTATTTATTCATTTCTAGAGAGAGGGGAGGGGAGGGACACAGACAGGAAGAGAAGCGTCAGTGTGCTAGAGGGACCTGGCTCACAACCCAGTCATGTGCCAACTGGGAATCAAACCAGCAATTCAGTTTGCAAGCCAGCACTCGATGCACTGAGCCACAGCCCCACACATACTGAGGGGGGACAATTTAAGTTTTGGGGAAGTCAAAGTTATATATGGAGTTTCGACTGTAGGTGTGTATAGCCAGGGGAGGTTTGCACCCCTAACTCCTGCATTGCTCAAGGGCCAACTGTAAATGGAATCATACTATATGTAGTTTCTTGTGACTGGCTCCTTTCACAACCAGCTCACTGGAATAATATTTTCCAAGCTTATGCATGTTGCAACATGAATCAGTACTTCATTGTTTTTTATTGCCAAATAATATAATAACATTCCATTGTATGGATGTAGGTATGTCACTTATGCATTCATCAGTTAACTGACATTTGGGTTGTTTATACTTTTTTACCATTAAGAATAATGCTACTGAGAACAATGATGTACACGTTTTGTGTAGACATGTTTTCCATTCTCTTGGGTATATATAATACCTTTGAGTGGAACTGCTGGGTTACACAGCAACTTTAACTTTTTGAGGAATTGCCGAACAGTTTTCCACAGCAACTCACCATTTTACATCCCCACTGGCAATGTATTGGGTTCTAATTTTTCTGCATCTGTGCCAACCATTATTAATGTCAATCTTTTTTATTTCGGCCATCCTAATGTGTGTGAAGTGGCATCTCACTGTGGTTTTGAACTGAAAAACTATTGTAAGTAGTAAAATAATAAGATGGCTGGATATTAAATTATTTAAAATATCAAAAGTTAATATACAGAACCATAACCAGCTAGAAAATATAAGGGACGATCCCAACCAAAACAACGACAAAAAAACCATCCAGAAACAGTTTTAAAAACTCAAGATATATATAAAGAAAACTTTGACACTTTCCTAAGAGCATAGAAGTGCTGAACAAATGGAAAGAAATGGGTATTCTTTAAAAAAGAAAAAAATTTCCCAATACTCAAATAGGAAGACTCAACATCATAATTAGTTCAATTCTCCCTATATTAATCAGTAAATAACATGACTCTAACATAAATATCTCCCAAGATTAGAAATTACACCAGACTAGCTTTAACTAAAGCTCACACGAAAAGACAATACAGACTGTGACTTCACCCCCAGACCCAGGCTCCCTGGGTTCCCCTCCCGCTACACTGTTCATTATTTGCTGCGTACCCTTAGACAAGTTACGTAACTGAGTCTCACATGCCTCTTCCACCAAAGGGGATGCCAATATCTACCTGGCAGGGCTCTTCAGGAAGATTAAATGCATTAAAATGCATAAAGCACTCAGAGTAGTACCTGGTATATAACAAATACTAAATAAGTGTTCATTATTGACATTATGTGGGAAAAAATAATAATTCAAGAATAGATGGTTAAAAAAATCTTTAAAAAAAGTTATAAGGGAGGACTGGCCCTACTGTGTTATTAAAGTAGCACCATTCTGGTCAATCAGAATTAAGACAGGCAGATCAATGGAATAGAAGAGAAGATCCAGAAACCCAAGTGCATATAGGAATTTAGAAAATGATAAAGGGGGCATTTCGACTTAGTGTAGGAAAGGAGGAGCAGTCATTATCAATGATTCTTGGGTGAAACACTTACCTCCCTCCTTATAAAAAAAAATACTTTCCAGATGAAATAAGGATTTACATATAAAAGTAAAACTGTAAAAACACCAAAATGAAACATGACAAAATTATTTAATAATCTGAAGGCAGTATACTCTCATGCCTAGAAGCCATAAAAGTGATAAATCCAAATATATGAATTTCTGTAAGACAAAATATAAAATACCATAAACGAAATCAAAAGACAAATAACCTGGAAAAAATAATTATAATCACAAAGGGCTGGTTTCCTTAACATGTAAAGAACTACAAATCAGGAAGAAAATGACCTATGATGCAATAGCAAAACTCAAGAAAAATCACAGCAGATAAATCCCAAAAAAGAGCCCTAGTCAAATGGCTCAGCTGTTTTGGAGCAACACCCTGATAGTGAGGTTGCAGGTTTGATTCCCAGTAAGACACAAGAATCAACCAATGAATGTGTAAATAATTGGAACAACAAATTGGGCTCTAAAATCAATACAATAAAAAATTTTTTTAAAGACTGAAATGAGCCCTGGCTGGTGTAGCTCAGTAGACTGAGTACCAGCCTGCGAACCAAAGAGTCGCCAGTTTGATTCCCCACTGTGGAGCCAGTCCCCAGTTGAGGGCGAGTGAGGGTCATCGCACTGATGTTTCTCTCTCTTTCTCCTCCCTTCCCCTCTCTAATAATAAATACATAAAATCTTCATTAAAAAAAGATATGAATTTTTAAATATATCACAAAAAAGAAATACAAGTCATTCTATGGATATAAAGATGCTCAGTTTCATTCATAATAAAAGACACGAAACTACAACTAGAAATCTTTTTTTACCTGCTGGATAACATTTGGGCTGTGGGGAAATGGGCACTCTTACACATTGCTGGTGAGAAAAAAAATGGTACAATCTCGAGAGCAATTTGGCAATACCTATCAAAGAATGCACAAACATTTGACCCAGTAATTCAACTTCTAGGAATACACTTGCACTTGTGTACAATAATCAGAAAACATGGATGTTCATTGAAGCATTGTTTGTAACAGGAAAATACTGGATACCTAAATGCTAAACAATTGGGAGCTGTGAAACATATGTACAGTGGAACAAGGCGGCTCTACCTATTCAATAAGTGAAAGAACAAGTATAGTATACTGCCAAGTGTGTACCACCTACGTCCTTGACGTCAATAAATACACAGTGAGACTATAGATATAAAAATGCTGGTATGCATAAATCTGTAAATATTTTCAATAAACTATTTTCAGTAAGGCCTATAAATGGAATTGCAAGGCTGAAATATAGCAACCACAAGGACGTTTATTTTTCCCTGTACCTTTTTTGACAATTTTGGGGTTTGTATTTTTGCCTTAGAGTTTGTTAAAATGAATTTTTAAAATTCCACTCATTCATTCGCATTCAGTGCTAATTCACTGAATGAATTCACACTCAGTGAGGTGAAATCCTAATTTTGTGCAAAGCTCTGAGTTGTCAGCCGAGGTACAGACAGTAATATCCGCCTGGAGGAGCTGAGAGGCAGACTGTACCTCGGACCTCTGCACTGGAGTCCTAGGGAGGGGAGGGGGATTCTTACCAGAAACACAGATTCCTTAGCCCTGCCTTTAACGGACTGAGTTACAATCCCGGAGTGACGCCCAGAAAGCTGCATTTTGGAGAGGGACCCCACGGGGGATTCCGTCGGTAATCGCTGCGAGGCCTTCTGGGCGGAGGGGGCAGTCGGCCCGCACGGAGCAGCACGGGGAGCAGACTCCTCTCCGCGTCCTCCCGCGCCGCACCGGGGCTGCCACCCCAGCGCTTCCGGCCGGGGAGTAACAACCTAGGCGTGGGAGCGGCGCTCCCAGAACGCACCTCCCCAGCGCCCCCTCCTCAAGGCCAAAGCGCGAGGCCGGGCTCCGCCGCCGCCCAGGGCCGCGGTTCCCAGTTCGCGGAGCGCATTCCGAGGCGGCTGTTCGCAGGCCCTGAGACCCGACTCGGGGCAGCACGGGTGCTGCGGGGCCGCGCGATAAACCACAGGTAAAAATGCTGCAGAAGCCGAATGCAGTGGTGGTGGACGGGGGTGGGGAGGTAGATCTCGGAATAAGTAAGTAGGGAGTTAAACGGTTTAGGAAAAGGAGAGGAAAGAAACGATCTCACTGTGGGGGGGAAAAATGCAAGGGGAAAAGGGTACGACTCCGCCGGGACTCGAACCCGGAACCTTTGAATGCCTTCAGCCTCTAGAAGTCCAATGCGCTATCCATTGCGCCACGGAGCCACCTGTTGGAGTTTCCGCGCATCTGCTACATTAAGCCAGAGGCAACGACTCCGCACCCTGGCAAACGCCCCTGTGGCTGTTCCTGCTGCGCAGGCCAGGCCACCACCAGGCACAGCAGGCGCCCCCAAACGTGGGCCGCAAGCATCCGTCCTCCCCCGGAGGCCGCCTCCCAAGGACGTCGGCGCGGCCCACGAGCGAAACGGCGCCGCGAGCCCGCGGAGTCCCGATGGGTTGATGTGACGGACAGCCGCAGCCCAGTCTCTGGGCCGCCGGAGCCGCCGTACCCGGCCGCGCAGGACAAATCACGTCCGCTTTTTTCCCCTCGGGCTCCCTCCGTGCCTGAGCGCCCCGCCTACCGGGTCTCCAGTCCAGGCCGGCGCGGGCCCGATGCTAGCCGTTGCGCCGTTAAGCCGGGCCGGTAACGCCGGGCACTTACGTCGCACCTGTTAGCGGCCGATCCCCAGCGGCGGCCCCGCGCGGGTCCCGGGCTCTTCCCTGGCTGCCCGCGGCCAAGGCCCGCCGCTACGAGCGCGGGCCGAGGAGACGTCTGTGTGCGTGCTTGCGAGTATTTATTTGCGCAGGGTGCGGTAAACGGGCGTTTGGGTTGCATTTCGCACCCCACAGACCCAGAGCCGAATTTCTGAGGCATCCGGGCTCTGGTGGACTGAGGGGCACGACAAGCCCCGTGTCGCAGCATCCTCTGAAAACTCCTCCAAGCCCCGGGAGTGGCCCCCGCGGGCGCCGCGCAGCCGCTCAGAGCCCGAGCTTCCGGAGCACGCGGCTGCGTGGGCGGCACCCGTGAAGCTGACTGCTCGCGTGGGGGCGCCGGGAGCAGGCGCGGGCAGCCGCGGTGTTTCCCGGTGGTGGCGAGTGGCGGAGCCAGAGCGGTCGTCACGAATCAGGGGAGTTATTTCTGGTGTGGGGATGCGAGGGGGCTCCTCGGTGCCCCAGTAATCCCCAGCAGTAAAACCCAAAGCCACTAGAAATAGATAACCCAAATTAAAACGGCGTGGTTGCTATGCAACCACTGCAGCAAGACAGAACCCAGGCCTCCAGCTCCAATCAGTTTGCAGCGTTCCGAGCCTGATTGCGTAGATATTACGGGGCTGCCGCGGTGCGCATGCTGCAGCCTGGTCCACTACCCACTTCTGCACTGAACCAGGATCAGTCACAGCCCGCTGTGTGATCCACGCCAGCCCTCCCTGTGTAACATCGACAGCCAGTCTCAGTCAGTGTTGTAAAGGGAAAAAGGGGAACTTCCAGGTATCTGGAAGATACCTACTGCCATAGATATCTTTACATTCTTACTTTATTTAACCCCACAACAATACTGTCAGCAGGTACTATTGTCTTTAGAAAGAAGGGAACCCTCCCCCAAAACAGGTTAAATATACTGTGTTCGGACTAGCTAGTGTTAAGAACTGTGAAGAATCTGAGATTTTACCCTCCTTGCAGGCTAACGTGTCTGCTTGCCACAATTTCATGGATGCTGACAGAACAGAAGACTGCTGGATCAGAGATGAAAGACTTGAAGCAAAAGCAGTAGCCTGCCTGTCAACATGTTTGTGTAGGTTCTCTGAACCCTATTTCTCACAGAAGTCAACTAGATAGGCCCAGATGTATGCTTGCACACAAAATGGGTTACGTTACAAGAGAGAAATGCTAAACTTGGGGAACCCACTATTTTACACCATGCAGTAAGCAAGCCTGCTCTTTATTCCCTCATCCCTCAAGGTTGGTCACTGCAAGAATGTGCAAGGATGGGAAGGGCCCTTGGTGGGTTGCCTCTCCAAATGGTAAGTGGCAAGGACCTGATTTCTGCCAGGCCTGTTTCATTCCACCATAATACAAATACAGTTCCTTGAAAACATTTTATGTGTCGCATTATTATGCTTTAAGATCAAGAAAATAAAACTCATGCCTTCAGATGCATGGGGGAAATCTCACATGCACAAAATTGACCATTAAAACAGAATATGACTTTAAATATTTAAACAGATTTTTATTGAACTCTGTAATGTGTCAAGCACTGGTGCCATCTAAGAGTCTTCAGTGATCTTTGGAATTGCACAAGGCAGAAGGGGGCGGGGGGGGGGGGCGATACCTGCAGGAATAAGTACAGAGGAATTTGGCCTGGAGGTGTTGGAGCCACTCTCCAATGATGAGCCATTGACGTAAATAACGATTTAAGCAGATAAAAGTTTCGGGAAGGGGAATTCTGAAAGAAACCTTGTGTTAAGGAAAGGTATGTATGTCCTTAATCCCAATTAATGAATCAAACAGAATTTTAGATATATGGTTCCTATCACTAGTTGAGACCACACCCTTTATATCATGGAAAACATTAGCAAAATACATGGTCAGCAGACCGTGTGGGAAAAACAGGGTTATGTGACAAACCCTATGAGCAATCTGGGTTGTACTTTTCACGCCCTACAGTTAGAAGATTGGGAAAGCTCCAGCAGAACAAGGGCTGCATGTGTTCTCTGACAATAAGAGGGTTATAGTGAGTCTGGCTTCTGAAGCAGCAATGTTAACCTGTAAAGGGAATGGAAATGTGTATTTAGTTGTCATCCAAGGGGGAAAATCCAGTACCTTATGTCTTCCCCTTTGCCAAATCTGAGAGCTAAATATTCTCAGGCAATGCGTAGAGTAAACAGTGGCCATTATACAATGGGAATCGAGCATTCATGCAAGTAAAAACAAAACAAACAAACAAAAAACCCACTTCTTTCCTGCCAACAGAGGGAGCCAAAGCACGACTATAACCACCTATAAACAGGCTGATCTCTGCCCGACTGCAGTCTGAGTTCCCTGAACAGCAAAACCCTAAATTAAACACAACTTCATCTTGGTGTTTTCAAGTTCAAATCCATTGTACACCTCTGAGAGTTTGCAATAACACTTTTCATGTTTGTACAGCAGAATTAAGTTATGATGTTTTTCTATTTGCAGTGCTTGGAAGCAGCTTCAGCCTTCCCTAAAAAATCTAGAAATTTACAATATTGTTATATATTTTTACTAGCTTTGCTCCAAAGGGAGAAGGTAATTGGAGTACCAGTCTAATACAATTCAGTGAGTATTTAAGGATGATACAGTTGAGTCTATTGTGGGAGACAGAGTGGAAGTTTAAGACACAATTCAAGAAGACTTCAAATTCCATGGGGGACATGTGACCTATGAATATGAAGCAATAAGCAAATAATGCAAGATATGAAAAAGTGGTAAAATGTGATTGGACAACAGTACAGATAAAATATTTTTGAGTTTGCACTCGCAAATAATAAGCACTTAATAAATATGCTGATTATACAACATAGCCCAAAATGAAATTTTTAAAGGATGAGATTTAAAAAACAAAGAGCCCTACTCGGGGAGACTGGGTTGGGTATTGTCCTGCAAAGTGAAAGTTTCCTGGTTCGATTCCCAGTCAGGGCACAAGCCTGGGTTGTGGGTTCAGTCCCTGGTCAGGGTGCATGATCAGTGTCACATGGTGTTTCTCTTGCTCTCTTTCTCCCTCCTTTCCCCTCTCTCTAAAAATAAATAAATAAATTTTCTTAAAAATAAATATTAGATAAAGACCCTAGTAGTAGAGGTCAGGAGCGCAGGCGATGGAATCCAGTTCCTGATGTTGGCATCTTGGCTCTACCTCTTATTTGTAAGACATAATTCTTAAATTCTCAGAGCCTTCTCTTCCTCATATGAAAAACCCTGAAGTAATGAGGATTACAGGAATTAATCTTTATAAAGTTCTATCTCAGTCTTGGCACATCGTAATTATGTAACAACTTTTTGGTGCTCTTAGCAAGCAACTCTCAATACAGAAATTCCACATCTTGCAGGAACAAACCAAAATTCAGGTACAGTGTGAGCTAAATTTGTTGCAACCCGAGAAACATCCTCCACCTCCATACCTGACTCCTGCTTGACTATAGACACCATGTGTGCTACCAAACAGATCCCTCAGTTTCTCACACTGAAAACATCCACCTTCAGCTTCATGATTTCCTCAGTTCTCTCCCAAGAACCTTAGGTGGACTCTTATTTTCATCTACCTCCAGTATATAGTTTCCCAAAACAAAGGTGCAGTCCACCCCTAAAGGACTACAAAGACTCATCTCTTGTCAGACAAAATCTACTCGCCATACTTAAATGATGGGCATTTTCATCCTAAAAACAAAACAAAAAAAAACCCTTAACGCCAAGTTTTGGCCAATCCAATAACCAAACTATACTAAATGGCAATGTGGAAATAGGGGAAAGAAAAGGAAAGTTTCCAGGATGAAGAAATTTAGACAGTAAGATAGAAAAGAGGGACAGATGGGTCCTTATGGTAGTACAGTTGGAGATGAGGAAGATAAGGTTGGGCAGGAAGGACTGAGGCCAGATTGGCAAAGGGGGTAAGGGCAGGCTTGATTCAAGATGAGGAAAGTGCATTTAATGCAATAGGCAGTGGGGAGGTCCTAGTTTGTTTTGGCATGGGTGTAGATGTGCTGTAGAATGATAAATTTAGAAGACAGTGCACAGGCTAAATAAAATGGGGGCCGATGGTTAGGGAGACAGTTTCATCCCATCCCAATGAGTTTGTACTTGGTGTTTCCCTATGACTTCATCTCTTCAGCAAGGAGCAATTGAGGGTCTAGTTGATATACAAAGAAAAAAGCCATGTGCCTGGCTTACAGCCTAATAGAAATGTGATAGCTACCCAACTGCGATGCAAGGTAAAAAAGGTTTCTAAGTGAGATAGGTACAATAGTATGGGACTTCCAGGGAGAGAGAGAGAGAGAGATCGCATCCTGAGAAGGGTAATTAGGGAGGAAGATGCATTTGGAAAGGACTGTTGAACCTAGGGCCAACTTATGCACTAGTGTAATGAGAAGGGGTTAGGACACAGCCTGGGTGGCGTAAAGAAGATAGACTGGAAAATGGTATAGGCTGAGCAGACCGATGCGCAGTGTCTGAAAGGGTCCGTCTGAAGGAGGCCGGCAGGGACGCTCTTTGTTTTACTGTTCTTTGGTTCTTGCCCACTTCCCCCTTGAAGGGATCCATCATATGCACTTCATTATATTTTCAAGATGTCAGGTCAACAGTCTCAAGCAGTAGCAAATATGCTGATTAAAATTCCCCTTCTTGTTCTGAAGTATCTGTCCTTGAATACAAATGATTTACTTATATATCCCTGATAGCGTGATTGTGTAACTGTGAGGTCATTTGTATAGTGGGGTCACTATGACTTTTTACTCAGCTTGCCAGTAGCAGACTTTAAAACCCCAGAAAGGAAAGGCCTAGTTAATATCAAGTCCTCTATCGGAAACAATGAAGAGGCGTAAAGAGAGGGCTAGTCCTTCCCCTCTGTTTCACTGGGAAATCCTACTTGGTAGCCAAGTGGTTGTCATTTTTAAGCCTGTGGTAAACAGTAATGAGAAATGGAAGATCTAAAGGGTATTGTTCTAGCAGTTTCCGTGTTAGGCCCTTGAACATGACTCATGCAAGGTGTTGAAAGAGTGCATGGACGTATGGGTGAATGGACTGATTTTTCAGCGGCAGTATGGCCAGGGTTGGGACCCAGCTGGTAGCACCTGTAGGGCCCAGGGTCCACTCTCACTGATCAAGTCTCCACTCTGCTGGGCTGGTACCCACACTGTACACTAGGCACTAGAGACAGCACCTAGTTTGGGAGAACATGGCTCCACTCACAAAATGGGTTACAAAGAAATGTTTAGAACCCAACTGACACAGCACAGTCTTAGGACTGGTGAGAGCCTGACTGGCTAGAACTGCAAGGAGCGGGACCTGATAGTCTTAGAACTGCAATAAGGTGGATCTTGGAGCAAATACCAGAATTTAAAGTAGATCAAAGTGAGAAATGGTGAATATAGCTCTTCAGTAAGTCTGGAGGTGAAACCTGAGAGCACAAAAGGATGCGAAGACCAGGAGCTGGAAATGCATGGGCTGAGGCTCACTGAAATTGGAGGGGATGGAGGGGGATTAAGAGGGAGGAAGTTGTATCAGTTAGATTTAGCTATAAGTGACAGAAAACTCAAAGCAACATAGGTTTACATGAACTACAACTTTATGCTGTTTTAGGTGACAAAGTCTGGAGGTGAGCCATCTGATAAAGCAGCTGATGGGGCAGCTTCGGGAGCATCAACATCCCAGACTCCTTCTATCTTGTTGCTTCACCATGCTCAACATGTGGCTTCCAACTCATGGTCAAAGTTGCCAGCTCAGACTCCAGCCAGCTGCATGGAGGAAGGAGCAAGATGAGCATGACTCTTCCTTTAAGGCTTGGTTTCTCAGTCTTGGTACTTGGGCATTTTGGACCAGATAATTCACTGTTGTTGGGGGCTGTCCTGTGCACTGTAGGACGTTTAGCAGTATTCTTAGCCTCCACCCGCTAGGTACCAGTGTAACTTCCTCCTTCCCGGGTATGACCATCAGAAATATTGCCAGATGTTCCCTTTGTTGGCAGACAGGGGAGCAAAATCTCCCCAGATAGAGAACCACTGCTTTGAGTTGACTTCCCAACTCAAGCTGCACCTGATCCCTCTGCTTACATGCCTTGATCAGAACTTAGTCATGCAGGCAACTCTTAGCCACAAGGAGCTGGGAAATGAAATCTTTATTCTTGGCAGCCACGTGGCCAGCTAAAAAAATAAGTTCTCTTACTAGAAAGAAGGTAAAAAGAGAGATTGGGAAATAATGCAAAAGCAAGGACTCAGACTTTGGCTATTTTGTCTTAGATCCCAGCTCCTAGCTACAGGTAAGGATCAAACAGGCTTATGTAGGAATATCTGTGATCCCAACTGCAGACAATGGCATCCTGGATCTATGAGGTGGAAACTAACTTCCCGGAGACTGAGCCCTCAGCTGAGAAAGATGAGGATTGCGTTCTCACTCATTCCCTGTCAACATGTCGCCTTAACTCAGGTTAGGAGTCTGTTACAACGCACTGTATTTCCCATCACTCTTGGCTGTGGACTTCTCTTTGCTTTAGTCCCTATGAAATGACCACAGTGCAGTTTCTTCCCTTCCTTCTCTCCTCTCCCTTCTTCCTTTCTTCCCTTCAAACGTACTAATAAGAAGACCGAATGTAGAATCAGGAGACCCGAGACCTGGCCTGGTCCTACCACAAACTTAGGGTAAGTCACTCAACCTCTTTGGCTTCAGTGTCTTCATCTGTAGAATTAGGGCTACACAGATGATTCCTAGGTTCCTCCCTGGCTCTGAGAAGCTTTGAGTCTTCAAAGTCCACATGACTGTGGGAGTAGCAGAGAGCCACCTCTCTGATCAGTGGTGTCAAGACAGCCCCTGACTGGGTCACTGTCTGCTAGACTCCCCTGCGGTATAAGGTCCCAGCCTGGCAGATATCACTTAGATTCCCCTCACTGGCCCCAGATAGGTCTGCTTTGGATCCATGGCACACTTGTCTGGCTAAATTTGACCAGCTCATGCCACGTCTGTCCTTAAGGTGCCAGCCGAGTGGGTCTGTTGTTTCTCGGCTCGCAGCCAACATTGAAACAGCCCTTGTGGGGCACAGCTGGCCTTAAGAGGTGGTTCTGTTTCATTTTTCAAATTCCCATGTCCTGTTTAAATTCAGTTTCTTTAAACTAATGTGTTTTCATTTCTTTATTTGTTCAATAAACACTCCTTGAGCACCTGTTACTCTGCAGGGCCCCAGGAATACAAAAGCAAATAAGTCACAGACCCTCCCTTTCAGGAGCTGGTACTGAACACGCCCCTCCTGGTCTTCCCCGATCTTTTCCTGACTCTCCAGGCTATTTCCCTCCACCAGCTGCTTGACTCTGCTTGGGTTCCTCCCACTGGCATAACACACACACACACTCGCTCACGCGCGCGCGCACACACACACACACACACACACACACACACACCCTACCTCTCTTCCTGGCTGCGGCTTCCTCCTCCTCCAGGCTTCAGCTGAGATGTTCCATCTTTAGGGAACCCTTCTCTGTCTCACCCTGACCCTGGGTTAAAGTACGCTGCCCTCATATATACCTCCCGTAGCACCTTGACTTTCCTCTTCAGAATGTTCACCATCTGGTAACCACTCCTGAAGTCCCCTTCTCCCTCAGGGCTGTGAACTGCCTGGCAGCACTTGGGAGCCAGGTCTCTCCCCATCTCCGCTGGATCGCTTCCTGGCTCACAGTAGGCCCTCAGCAATGGAGCGTGAGTGAGTGAACACATGGACAAATGGAGCTGTCAAAGGGAGAGACATACAGACAAATAGGGTCGGCCAAGTGCTGAACCAGGATGGTGAGCAAAGGCTGGCAGAGTAAAAAGAGCTCCTGGCCTCTGGGAAAGAACGGGTGGGAAGGCCCTGCAGGAAATTTGCACCTGGTCTTAGAGGAGCAGGAATAAGAAAAGTGCAGTGAAGAGGAAAGATGCCTCCGGTAGAAGAAACAGCCTAAATGAAATAAAGAGGCAGGGGCCTCTGGCATTCCCAGGGCATGGGGAGAAGTGCAGTGGGGCAGACCTGGAGCGTCCAGGGCTGGCAGGGGAAGCTGTGAGCTCCTAGCCCTTGGCCTCCCTTTTCACTGGAGCACGTGCCAACTCACCCCCTCTGCTCTGCCTCTCCCCACCCACCGTCCACTCACCCCGAATACCTTGCTTAAGAAGCTCTTGCTTTCGGAATCTCTGGGCCTGGTGTCCTGAGGTGGCAGGCCATTCCCAAGAGCCCAAGTCTCCCTCCCTCCCTCCCTCCCTCCCTCCCTCCCTCCCTCCCTCCCTCCCTCCCTCCCTCCCTCCTTCCCTCCCTCCCTCCCTTCCTTTTATTCTTCACCACATTCAACTCATATTTCCTGAGCTGTTTCTCTGTGTCAAGAGTTGGAGAGAGAATTTTCTTCTCACTTTGAAGCTTTGAAAGATGAAACCAGCCAGAAACCAGAAATGGAACCACTGGGCTGGAACTGTGTACGGCTGGGGCAGCAGCAGAGGGCTGGTGTGTAAGCAGACGGACTCGGCAGAAACGGACTCGGCTGGATCCCGAAGTAGGCACACATACGGAGGGGCCAGGTCAGCTGAGTTGCCCAGAAAGAAATGGGGCAAGGAAGCAGAACAAGCCTCTCTCATGTTGCATGCCCTCTAAATGTCACTCTCTCTTCTGCTCCCTGGGGCCTGGGGCTGTCTGAAATACTCTGGCAGTGGGAGCTGACTCCAAAGCTTTGGCCCTGGGGAAGGAGAGAGACTGAGCTTGGAGAATAGAGGGCATCTGGAATCCCCACTGGAAGAGGCAGGCAGAGAATGCAGAAAGGCAGGGAGTGTGACCATGTTTGCTTTCCAGAAAAAACAAAAAACTATCTTCTGCTGAGGTGACTTTTGGTTCTCTCTCTGAAGAGAACTTGACTTTTAAATGCCTCGCTTGCTTTTTCTACACCAGGGAGGAACTTAAACTGCAAAACACACTACCTCACTGCAGGTAGGAGGGACAATGTGTCCAGGGAGCAGAGGGGCAGGCTGGGTCCCAAAGGCCAGGCCGCCCTCGGTGAGTGAACTGCTGGCTGATGTGTGTGCTGGGGGAGCCATCGGCTAAGAGGGAGGCTCAGAGGTGACAGCCCTCTGGAGAGGAGACTGGAGCCATGAAGTCGAGTTGGGGACGTAGGTTTCTCACTCAAATGTTTTATCTTGTATTGAGTGACCTTTGTGGATACCGGCTCCCTAATTTGACCTTGGGTGCTTAGAAAACATCGTCTACTTAAATGTTACTAGAGAATCCATTCCAGAGCTGACTAAACCCACTAAGGGGTCACAGTCAGTACATGAGTTTTGATGAACTGCTGGAGGGAGGGGTTATGGCGTGGAACAAAATCCAGGTCTGACACAACTGCCTCTCAGAACCTTCCTCGGGGCAGCTGAGCAACCCCATGGGGAGGGATTGCCCCTCAGGCCACCTGGGCGCACAGAACCAGGTGCCAGAAGGAGACTTGAAATCCAGATTGAGTACATTTTTTTTATGAGACGGAAGAAATGAGGAAGAGGAAAGGCCCTGGCAGGCATCTTTGGGTTTACAGAGGGCACCAGAAAAATGTCATTTGAGGAGTAGAGAGAGGAGACAAAGAGGTGAGTGTGACAGGAAGCCAGGGAGGAATAAAGCCGGGAAACAGGGCAGGAGGGAAAAAGGGCCACAAAGAAAGGAACAGAGGTGAGGGGGTGATGCTCAGCCTAAGGGCGGCCGGGGTGGAAGGAAGGCCGCCAGGCCCCTGCTCAGCATTTCTCCTGACACTGAGAGCTGTCCTCAGGTGCTGGCAGAATGTAATGCCCGTGTCCGAGGGCTCCAGGGCAGCCTCTCAGACAAACTGTCCTGCACGGAAGAAAGGACAGCCCCCTTCTGGCTCCCTTAGTGGGAGTCAGCCTCCACCCGCCAGCTGGCTGTGGATGTGCCCCTACTTCTGGCCCCTCACTCACTGGGAGAGCTGCCAAGCATCCTTTACAGAGGGGCAGCAGCACTGGGAATTCTGAAGAAAGATGTGGAGAGAAGTTGCGTCTGTTCATGCTGTTTTATTCTTTGGGGTCCCTAAATGGACTGGCAGGGGCAGCCCGCAAGATTAGGGCAGCGCATGCGCCAGGCCATGTGGACCAGGCCTGGCCCGACAGCCCAGAGTTCATTTGTTCACTCAACAAACATTTGTTGAATGTCTGCTAGAACAGAGTGAACAAGACAAGGTGCTGTCTCTCGGATTCTAGTTTACCTTCTAGTCATGGGTGACAGACAAATGAACAACAGTAAGACACTTTGTAGGTGTGTTAGGCAAGCCCCGTGGGTTTTTTGTTGTTGTTGTCTTTGCTGCTCAACCAGACTGAGGATGCTTGGGACCAGGTATTCTCAACACTGATGGCAACAATGCAGAACAGAAACACAGTCTTTTGGGTGACAATTTCATCTTACACATTTTATGTCTTTTTTTTCTTTCAGCATTTCTAAAATAGTCAATAATCCTTTCAGGGTAAGAGGGAGAGGAAGGCTTCTGAGGGCGGACTCCTCCAGAAGGAAAGACAGCGGCCCCCTCACTGGTATTCCCTCCATCAGTGTCTTCCTACACGCAGGGAGGAGCCTGTAGACATGCTGATCTCATCCTGTGATTCCCAGCTTTAAAAATTTTAATGATAAATCTGCTGGGGTACTTTAGACTCTCTCTATCCCTTTAAAAAAAGATTTTGTTTGTTTGTTTATGAGAGAGGGGAAGGGAAGGAGAAAGAGAGGGAGAGAAAAACCGATTGGTTAACTCTTACACGTGCCGGTGACCTTTCTGTGTGTAGGACAATGCCCAACCCACTGAGCCACACCAGCCAGGGCTGCTTTTGACTCTTAAGAAATAGAAAGCTGCCAGAGGGAATGTGGGGGACCAAGGGAAGCTTGAAGAACCTAAGGGCTGTGAGCACAGAGTCAGCCTGAGTTCATGTTCCACCTCTGCCACCTCTGAGTCTTGTAAAAGGCCAAGCCACTCAACCTTTTTCGAGACCTACTTGCTCATTTGTAAAATCATAAACAAACAAACAAACGAACAGAAAAGCCATCTCACTTGGTAGCTGTGAGGTCAATCTATTGAGATAACATGGTAACATATATAAAACACTAAGCACAGTGCTCAATGCTAATTGGCAGCTTTTAAAAAAATCCATGGCCCTGGCTGGTATAGCTCAGTGGATTGAGTGCAGGTCTGCAAACCAAAGGGTTGCCTGTTAGAATTCCAGTCAGGGCACAAGTCTTGGTTGCAGGCCAGGTCCCCAGGAGGGGGCAGGCAGGAGGCAACCACACATTGATATTTTTCCCCCTCTCTTTCTCCCTCCCTTCCTCTCTCTAAAAATAAATAAATAAAATCTTTTTAAAAATCTATGGAGCCCTGGCCACATGGCTCAGTTGGAGCATCTTCCTGTAAACTGAAGTGTCATGAGTTCAATTCCCAGTCAGGGTGCAAGCCTAGGTTGCAGATCTGGTACCAACTGATACCTTCTCCCCCTCCCTTCCCTTGTCTCCAAAATCAGTAAGCATATCCTCGTGTGAGTATATTTGAAAAATCCATGGATTTAAAAAATTATATTCCCTACGCTGTACTTTACATCCTGTGACTGTTTTTATACCTGGTGATTTCCCCCAATCCCATGATCTTTTTTGTCATCTTCCCAACCCCTATCACATCTGGCAGCCATCAAATTGTTCTCTGTGTCTGAGTTTGTTCTCTGTTTTCTTTGTTACTTACTTTGTTTTTAGATTCCATACATAAGTGAAATATATGGCATTTGTCTTTCTCTGACTTATTTCACTTAGCATAATGCCCTCTAAGTCTATCCATGTTGTTGCAAATGGCAAGATTTTATTCTCTTTATGGGTAAGTAATATTCCATTATACAGGAGTCCATCAGAAGTAGGGCCTGCTTAAGTGTGTTTGGTAGGGTAATAATATAGGCGTAATAATTTATAGTTTTCACTTGAACATTTCACCTAAAATGTCAGAAGGTGTGCTTGAGTGTGATATCGCTATTACAGAATTACATGCTTATGGTTTGGTAATAAAAGAGTCTGTAATAAGAACAGGGGCGTTATTTGTGCCGGACCCTGTGTATGTCCCACCACTTTTTTACCCATTTGTCTACTGATGAACACTTGGGCTGCTTCCCATCTCCGCTATTGTAAATAATGCTGCAGTGAACAGAAGGGTTCATAGATCTTTTCAAGATAGTGTTTCTGTTTTCTTCAGCTGCCTACCCAGAAGTGGAATTGCTAAGTCATGTGGTAGTTCTATGTTTAATTTTTTGAGGAATCTTCACACTGTTTTCCGTAGAGCCTGCACCAATTTGCAGCCCCGCCAACAGTGCGCAGGGTGCCCTGATGTCTGCATCCTCACCGCGCTTGTTTGTTGATTGTTGTTGTTGTTGGTAGCATTCTGACAGGTGCGAGGTGATATCCCATTGGGGTTTTAATTTGCATTGCCCTGATGATTAGTGATGTTGAGCATCTTTTCATATGTCTATTGGTCATCTAAATGTCCTCTTTGGAGAAATATCTATTCAGGTCCTCTACCCATTTTTTAATTGGATTGTTTGTTTGTTTTGGTGTTAAGTTGTATGGGTTCATTATTTATTTTGGATATTAACCCCTTGTTGGGGTGGTCACTTCATAAGTTATGTAAGTGCCGAATCACTATGTTCTACACCTGAAACTAATCTAATATTGTACGTCAACTGTTACTTAAAAAGGAAAACCAAACAAACATGAAATAGTCACTCTAGGAATGCTTGGCTCTTGGCCCCCCAAAACAGAAAGCAAGTCCAGACCAGGCTGGCCTGCCCTGGGGGTGATTTTTTTCGACCCCTGCCTTGATGCCCTTTCCTCCGATATGCAAGTGCACACTCACACGCGAGGCTAAGCGAAGCCCCTGCAGAACCAGGACAGGAAGCTGAAGCAATGCTGTGAAGTCGTAGCAGAGATTCCTGTTCCCAGGACAGCACTGGTTTAACAGGATGCAGAGGGACTAGGGAAACAGATGGCTGAAGAGTAAACGCTGTGGAACAATCCAGGAAGGTATCGCCCTCCTAGGCTCAAGACAAACTAGTTCTATTATTATAGCTGCTTTTTTTCTTTTGGTTTTTTAATGTAATGTTTGCTCTCTTGCCCCTGAAGGCAGTTTCAGGACTTCAGCAAAATACAAGTTTGCACTCGTTTTTATAATTATAGTTGATAGTT